CTTTAGAATGCCTGTGCCTTACCGCTAGACCACCAGAACATGCATACCATAACTGTCTACGATCGTCCTTATATTATATGACTTGGTTTATAGCTGCAGAAAAATCGTATTAATTTATTGACTTTTCAATTTATATTGACAAAAGACACCGTGTCTAGCGCGTCCCCACACTGCCAACAAGACAAATGAGACGCTGCGAAATTTCAAGTGGGAAGTCCTCGAGCATCCTTCGTATAACCCCGACATTGCGCCAAGCGACTTCCATTTGTTCGGCCCTCTTAAACATCATCTTTCGGTTGAACATTTTCCCGACGATGAAGCTGTAGAAAGGGATGTTACCGCCTGGTTCCAACAGCAGCCCAAAGAATTTTATACTGCTGGTTTTCAGGGGCTTGTGAAACGATGGGACAAGTGCCTCAATGTACAGGGAGATTATGTTGAGAAATAAAAGAATTTTTCAAATCAGTACTCTTATTTGTTTAAGTTCTATATCCATTTGTAACTTACTTATTGTGTTACCTACGTACATAACTGTACTTAGCATTTCAGTTCCAGTGATATCTCGAAGGAACCCATGTAACAAATCGAAAATATGTGAAAATAATAAAAATTCTCATTATAAAAATTCTTGTGGTTTCGAACCACAGACCTTTCATTTACAACGTCTGTGCCTTACCGCTAGACCACCAGAACATCTATCCTACCGCTTCCTGCGATCCTCCTCATATTCTACGACTTGGTTTATAGCTGCAGAAAAATCACATTTTTTATTCACTTTTCAATTTCTATTGACAAAAGACACTGCGGTCTCGATCCCCGTATATTCCCAATACTACGCGAATGTCTTACCCACTTACCACCAGATCTATACAAATTTGTTACCTTCACCTTCCTCATATAGTACGATTTGCTTCCTAGATGCACAAATTTCTTAAATTTTTTCCTGACAAAAATAGTCATGTCTTCGAACCACGTATCTTCTAAACCATACGCCAATACCTTACCAAAGGACCGCCATGGTTAAGACAACGGTTCGCTTTCGTCCTCTACATATCCTACCGCTTCGTTTCTACCTTTACAAAATTCCTCTTTACTATTTGCTTCGTTTCAAAGTCATTTTACGACTGACGGTTGGCCAGTCACTTTCTCTTAATTTAGAGTCCGTTCAGACGCTCTTGACCAGATCTTAGTCTTGAAGTAGCTTCACTATTTGGCCTTTAATACGAATCCTTTCCGATGACAAGACGGGTCTTTCACTTGTCACAGTCAATTACTTCCTATATTTCGTCCTTCGTCATCTAAATTTCATGTCACGACCTCTATAATTATACATATATACTGTACATGGCTTTATTGGCAATATATATAATCGAATTTCGATTTCCACAAATTAAATATAGTGACTAGCCCCACCACATTAGAAAGCTACGAGCCGCCACTGGTATACCAGCTGGAGAATTTATTCACCACAGTTTACCTGAAGAGCACATAAAATTACTTTGGTTCGATGAATTAATTCTGGGGGTTCGCGACGTTTCAGTCCAGTCCTGCCTTTAGCTCACCGCGCTTCGTTATGAAGCGAGATGGCATATCTCTCTGGTGGTAGCAGATTTACGAAAGAACTATGTTGTGTCACTAAATGATTTATGGATCATGTTGTAATTTCGTGAAGTCTGATAAACAGTAATCCGTTTATCTTGCCCAGTGTGGTAAGAATACCACGTGACATAAGAGACTACGAAGTGAAATTTTAATATCTTCAAGGTTACGTGCACAGTACATTGATTTTGTGCTGAGATCTCTTGACAGGTTCCATCACGATTCCCTTCTGCATGCCTGGGTAATGAGACATGCAAAGGGCGTTTTTTGGGAATCCTCCAACCATTTTTGTGGTTAATTTTACGGTGCCGTCAGCATCTGGATTGCATAGCGTAGATTGGTATGATTGATGAATTGGAAAGGATCTGGAAGGAAGCAATTGTGGCCTGAGAAACATACTATCTAGGCATTAGCTTTGACGGGTTGAGGTAAACCACGAATAACCTTTGACAGGATAGTCGATGGACCACGCAGGGTGCCCATACTGGCAGCTGTACAGATATCTAGAATATCTTGTTATGGACTGCAAGGCTGAAGTAGAGAATAAGCAGTATGACATAAAATACAACATTATATTTATAAAGAATGTATACCTATAATCTAGTTTCATCAACCATAAATTATCATAAGTCAGTTATTACTACAATTTTTTAGGTTTTCCTGGTAATGAAGAACCAGATTGTGGCCTAAGTAATGGCACATTAGAACCTGGTAGACGTGTATTGTTTTGCATAAACACATGCCTCCGTTTTTATCCTGTATATGGTGGGAATATGCACCTCCGAAGTGTACATGCACAGCTACGAGTCCACACGACGCCCATAATATGAACACTTTCAAGATTGATATTGTGGCCGTAATAGGAAGTTACGAAGTTACCAACTGCGCTTTCGACATGTGTCGTACGTAGTTCGGTACTATTTGGCGAACCTAACGTAATTGTCCTTCATAGACGTTCATAGATGACAGGAAGGAAGGTTGGGTATGACGTCAAATTTTTCTGCTCATTTCTTGTTCCTGCGATTTCGAAACCCGCCCCTCTCTACCCAACTCTGCTCCGTAGATCACGTGTTTTGACGTTTGGTTCTTAGGGTTGCACGTCACTCTGTCTGCGGCAACGGGTTGGTCAAGGTAAGTTGGTCCGTTTGTGACAAATGGAGATGTATTAGGGTTGGAGGCCTCTTCTTTTCTAATTCGTTTTATCTTGTAGCCATTTTGGTTTCTAGAATAAGCGGACTGATATTCAGATATATGAACATGTGCAGTCAGAGAATTTGCTTACAGAGTTTAAGCCATTTAAGAATATCATTACGGGATCACTATTTTCGGTAATAATGTTCGATATATTTCCTCTTTTTTTAAATTTTCTTTCCCCACCAAAACAGGCACAAGCTCGGTTATCCCATTCCCCAAACCATCCGGGCTCAATTCAGATACAGTGTTTAAATAACTGTAAGATATAATGCTCATTGACGACGTCAATTCTTTTCATAAGAGAATTTGAAAATATAAAGCAGTTGCCCTGTTTCACTTCGCACAGAGACGTCGGTCTATATGCCACGTCTTCGTATTCATGCCACTCAACATGGCAGGACCTGTTAGAATAGTATAGATTCGTTTCTCTTTTATAACTTCCTTCCGAACAACCTCATGGCCACACTAGTAAACCTCTCATTTGATGAATATTATTCACATGGAGGAAGTTTCATATTCCTGTACAAAAAAGGTACTATTAGAAATTGTGCAAACGTGATTATTTTATTCGCTCGGACAGTGAATTAAAAATCAATTGCATTGTGCTAGACTACACCTACAATTTTCCTATTACTTATGGAGCTGAGCCCTTCTTGAGAAGCCAAATCTGCAGCGACTGAAGAATTTCCTAACATTTTATGAAACCCGAAGGTTCAAAACCTTGTTCACAAGAGCCCTCCACTGGTCACTATCCTGAGCCACATCAGTCCAATCCATACCATCCCATCCCATCTCTCTAAGATCAATTTTAATATTGTCCACCAACCTACGCCTTGGTCTTCCAAGTGGTCTCTTTCCTTCTGGTTTTCCCACCAATATCTTACATGCATTCCTCCTCTCCCCCATTGGATTATCCTATATAATACATAAAATAAGGAAAATGGAACACTGAACAAAATATTTATAAGAAAATTACTTAAAAATAGTTTAGAGGATGTGTTCTACATAATTATGGCATATAGTCTTCCCACACGGGCCCTACGCAGATGTCAGGTTTCGCTTTGATCAGTTGCAGCTCATCTACGGATACAGGTTTTCTTCCGGATTGTTCCAGTGTGCAAGTGTAACTCGGAAATGTGGGTTTGAGAGACTTGCTTTCGTGTATGGCACCGTATGTTTCGAACCAAGGACTTTAGGAAGGTCCCTTATTTGAAATGTTATATGGAAACATTTTATCCTTAACAGCGGCATTGTGTAATAGACCTGTAGAAGATATGTCTGGGGTGTAGGTCTAAATATATCTAGTACTCAGTTTCAGATTGATAGAAACGGGCTCATGAATTGAAGCCGTGGAGCTGAATCTTCCGTGATAGGCCAATAGTTGAGCTCAGGTACACAAACTGCAGCATATTTCAGAACCACACGGTTCATTACCCTCTGCAGTGGTCCCAATCTGGAGCCACGTGTATCATATCCGTAACTTTTCATTTCATTTATTCAATATACATTTTAATATTATCATTCATATAAACCCAAGTCTTCCTAATGGTCTCCTTCCTCTGGTTTTCCTATCGAAATTTTGTATGCACTACTAGCTACCACAGAGCCGGGATAGCGACTGGGTGCGGGCTGGACGACCGAGGGGTCGGAGTTCGAGACCCGGTAGGGTCAGGAATTATCTCTTTTTAAATCGTCCAGACCGGCCCTGGTATTCACCCAACCTCCTATCCAGTGGGTACCGGGTTAAAGCGGCCGGGGAATGAAGCTGACCACTTACCTCCAGCTAGTAGCTAGAAAATGTGGATCAATACATCCACTCCCCCATGCACCTTCATGGCGTAGAGCTTGAATTTGCTGAGCACAGTGACAACTTTTACCTTTATACCTTACGTTGACGTTGTCATGAATACAGTTTGGATTTGTTAGTGTCTTCCACAAATATTTGAACTTCGCCTAATTATCTTCCCATCGCAGGTCAGATCGTGTGGATTCATGGTGGACAAGCGAGAGCGGAGCGAGTTTTCTCAAGAGTACTTCGGATTCCAATGCTAATTCTCATTTCACCAACTGTTCCATGTTCATTAATCATCCTATTATCGACGCTGTACGAGTATACTGTCCATACTGACAGCGTCATTAAATAGCAAACTTAAAAATATCACAGGATTAATTATCAGATTTTTTCTCTCAATGTACGTATAGTATGGTATAGTATAATAGAGTATAAGCATATACTTAGTTTCTTTTTTATTTTCTTACATAAAAACATTCTTGCTAGCGTCTAATAGGACTCTTGGTTTTTTATAAAGATATTTGTTCCTCTAGTAGATTAACATCATCAGCGTAGACCGGAAACTCTTGTGCCTCAATCGAATTGAATCTTCTCTTTTTCCTTGAACTTCGTAATGGCTAATTCCAAAGCAAAGTGAAATAAATAGGCATGAATCTTAGTATTCTTTGATGCTGACACTTCTGCACTGAAAGATCGGAAATGAAAAAAAGAAAAAGATTATTATATTATATTAAAAACCTTTACCAAATGTAATTGCGAAATTTCATTTATAATATTTTTGTGAAAACACATGCCCTACCGAAACTGATAGAAATCAAAGGTTATGTTAGGTAACGGCACGCAACAATAGGAAAACGGTGTTATGAAATCCATTTCCTAGCACAGAATCGGTGAATACCCCCACAGTAGAGGTATTGTTGAAAAAGGCGTTTTGCATTCGGTCCGTGCCAAGTAGTTAATAAAAAAGAGTTAGTTGAGAATCGGCAGTTGAGTTCGCAGTTCCAAGTGAGCAACTATTTTAGAGGAAACAACTATGTTGAGTCTTAATTGCTGCTTTTCAGGTTAATGCAAGATGGAAAGCATACGTCTAATATTTCACATCACGTACTGTACAGTGTGGTGAGCTGAATAAGTCATCTTTATGAATTGTCATTGATGTTCTTATCACTCATTATTTGCAGGTAACAATGGTGTTTATGAGACTTAACTGATAGCACTCAGTTTAATAGTATTTTGGAAACCTGAAATCAGAGTTTTAATATCAGGTAGCGTACAGTGAGGTCAGATAAGGCGTCCGTCCCTATAAGCTGTCATAAAGCTGATACCACTTCTTATTTTACAGGGAACATCTGTGTTAATGAGTCTTCATTGCCGCTACACAGGGTAAAATATATATGAAAAAAAGCATTAGGAAATTTCTGATTCAGGTAGTGTACAGTGTGGTCAGTTGAAAAAAATCAATAAGGTTTCAGGAATATAGGTACAACTTATTTGCATGAAAAGATTAGTTCATAGCTGAATTGCAGCTAGTTAGTATATTCCTATATTGAAAGCAAGAAATTAGAGATTTCACATCAGGGAGCGTACAGTGGTCAATTACATATGTCCTTTATAAGGCGTTATTAATATTGGCATGATCTTTTTCTTTTAGAGGCAACACCAGTGTTGATGAACCCGCAATTTTCCCACTCAGGGTAATACAGTCCTCGAAAAATGAATCCAGCGATTTCATGTCAGGTAATGTATGAGTACAATGTTGTATGTAGAACAAGACATTGTGAGCTGGCATTATGATTGGTGTGGCCTCTTTTTCTTACAGGGAACATCAGTGTTGATGACCCTTCATTTCTCCCACTCAGGTTAACACATTATTGGAAGCATGAATTTGGAGATTTTGCATCAGGTAATGCACAATGTTGTATGTAGAACAAGCAATTGTAAGCTGTCATTATGATTGATGTGACTTTATATTCTTACAGGGAACATCAATGTTGATGAGACTTCATTTCTCCCAGTCAGGTTAACACATTGTTGGAGATTTTGCATCAGGTAATGCACAATGTTGTATGTGGAACAAGCAATTGTAAGCTGTCATTATGATTGATGTGACTTTATATTCTTACAGGGAACATCAGTGTTGATGAGCCTTCATTCCTTCCATTCAAGTCAACACATTGTTGTAAGTATAAATTCAGAGATTTCGAATCAGGTAATGCACATTGGAGTACAATGATGTATGTTCAGTAGTTTACATAGAAAAAGTAATTTAAGTTGTCATGATTGGTGTGACCTCTTTATTATTTTTTTTTCCATGCACCCTGTTGTGTTACAATATACAACATCAAAGAATTTTATTCTTGTTTTATACTATAATTTCTGTTTTATTGTATTTTTACATCAAGTATTTTATATAATTAATATACTGTATCCAATTTTACTAGTACTGCGGTTCAGTGGTGTTTATATGTTAACCATGTATTTGCCTGATGATGGCTAGTAATTGCCGTAACATATAGCAGAGCCAGAACTAGGCACTGATCTTGATATTAGTTGTGTTGTGATGGTTGTAATAAAGAAGTTGACCTCTTATTCTTAACAGGCAACATGAGCATGGCAGACCGTCCAGTGGCCCTTGTGAAGAAAGGTTAAATGGGAGCATCAGTTCAGTGAGATGAAGGAAAGAGGGCAGTGGCCAGTGTGATGTGTAAAGGAAAGAAACTGTGGAAGGAGACGCTGGCTTTGTGCAAGTCTTGCAGCAGGAAGCAATTCATGCATGCAGACAAATGCTCAGAATTGTACCACACCCGTGGAGATAACCATGTTCCTCCAAAAGCTACATACCTACCTACATGAGTAGACAGTGTCACAGCCCAGAAGACTTCATGGTGAGCTTGCAAATTGTCTGGGAATAGATATGAGAGTTTGTGTTACTAGTGACATACAAAGTGATAAAATGTATCCGTGTTCTTAGTGTAGAAATTGTGAATCTGACATATGGTGAAGGATTCAACACTGAAGAGTGTGCAGTCAGGAGGCTTGTTTTTCCATGTGTAGAAACTGAAGTAATTGCGTGTATAGCGAGAGATTTGTGGTTTATAATTTTGGTCAGTATTATTCATGTCTTTTCTATAGTGTTGTACAAAAGATATTTTGCTGAGAGTTGAAAGATCTTAATGGGATGGTAATGTTTTGCCATGTGCATTCAGAATTCTAATGTATGTGTCAGTATTCTGGTCCACAGTGAAGATAAAATTGGTGGCCTTTATTGAACTGTTACTTTGTGTGTTCACAGGGCTGGTGTGTGTCATTCCTTTGGGTCTGGAAGGAACATCATGATGCTGATGGATTATTTGGTGGTAAATTTGTAACAGCATATTCTTTGAAACGTTTAAAAATGTCAGGGTTTCAAACCCAGCTCCTGACCTAATTGAGTAACTGTGCAAATGAGTATTATGCTGTGTGGAGATTGATAATATCTTAAATATAATAGTGACACCATATAACATTAACATATATTAGCTTTTACCAAGTAATTTTACTGTTTGTTGTAGACTGTTGTGAGATGGTGCAGTGCCGTATCTTGTTTTAAATTAACTGTCTCTTCACATCCATGAGGGGCTCTAGTGACTGGTGGTCTTCCATGTTCATTGGGCATATGCACAGGAAGATCTTGCAGAGTTAATAGAAACTTAAGGGGGAAGATGACTGTTTTTTAGGAGGCATATAAAGAGATGATCCAAGACCTGAGAGGGAACAATGTGCAGGGAACTGAAATACAGTGAAACCCTCATCAGTGCTCTTTGATGCGAGATTAACTTCAGGTAACATTCGAGTTTGGTGACGTGTCAGTAACCTCATTGTTAAATTACACTTGCGCAAGAATCCACTTCTTGGCAAAGAGACCTTGAATAAGAGATTTCACTGTATGCAAACCTGCATCTGTATGCCATTGTAACCATCACCAATCACAAAAACATGCCTCCCTGTTGACAGTCATATGTCACGGGAAGTCTGGATGAGGATTTCCAGCACTGTAAGAAGTGCAGCAGTTGTGTAAGAGGTTCATCTGCCAGCGCTACAGGCGGTGCGATGGGTAAACTACCGCATCGTTCTCTGCCACAAGATACCAGTCTTGCAACTAGTCTTAGAAATGTATATCTGATAAATATAGATTAATATCCCTTTAGGTATCATTATTATGATGCTTGAAGAGTGAGTTGGTCTAAATGAATGACCTGTGTTTGAATTATATGTAAGAAATTTAGATTTATTTTGTCCAAAAGAAAAATTGGTACAGAAGTCAGGGTGGGGGGGTTTCATTTAGAGGACAAAGGAAGAAACCGATTTCAGCCTAGTGCAATATGTGAGTATTGAGGGCAGAAGTATATGCCATTAACCCTGTGTGAACCAAGTTTTTGGACAGCTTGAGACAAAAATACGACTTAAATGACGTATATGTACACCTGTAACTTAACCTAGCTAACTTATAACTGAATGTACTCTAACTTAATGTAACCTCCCTAATCTAACTTCTAACAGAAACTATCAAAACTAACCTGAGCTAACATGTCGAGGAACATACATGTACGTCCATAGAACAGAAAGGGTCAAGGTGTGTATACTTACTGCCATAAGCTTTATGAATTTAGCTTATTGGTTTATATGAGGTTCACTCTGCACTATACCTCACCATCCATAGGAGTAACATAGTGAGCATTTCTTTTGCTAGAGTCAAGGCATTTGTAATGTTATAGAAGTGGTCCCATTTTAGGAGAACAGATTGGATATAGACCTGACATGTTGAAAATGATGTCTTGGCACCAATTATGTGGCTGTATGGATACTGATAAGGGCATCTTATGGTGATTATTACTGTGGTGAAGGAGGGGTTGTATGCTTTGAGGTTACGATATGTTAAGTGTAATGCCAAAACTTGTACGTGAGATTGTATTGCTTATTTTGATGTATGTGCCGCTGGCTGGCTGGCTAGCGTTGTTTGATAGGTCTTGCAGAGTGCTATGTACTTGTATGTGGATTCTAATGTTGTTATTGCTGTTTGGAAAATATTTCAACATACCTGTAGACAGAAATATGTTTGTCACTAAATGACATAATGGGACATTCTCAAAATCATTGTCAATTTGTCAGTTATGAAAAGAATGTCCCGCATATTAGATATTGAATTGATTTGTGTTAAGGCCAGAAGAGTTCACTGATTGACTGTTGTTATAATTGCATGAATTTCTGTTCTACTTGCTGCCTCAGTGGCAGAGCATATGGATTGTGTATGTTACCAGTTTCTGTTAATGTTGATAGTATCATGTAAGATTTATTGTAATGGTGTGAACGCAGTTTCTGAGGACATGAGCTATCAGAGTATTTTCCATCAAGATATGTATATTTTTTATAATGGTGTATTGCTATGTCTCTGTTCTATTCGAACACAATTGTGAATATGATCACCAGCAGTCAACAGAGTTTTGTGAGTGCTGGGGTATTTGGAAATATGCAGTAAATCAGATGTCTGCATATTGTGGATGGAAGGACATCTCTACCACCATCTTGACTGCATCAGGTGATAGTGGTGGGTGTGGTGATGGAGGTGGCGGAAGTCATGGTGGAGGGAATGATGGTGAAGATGGTGGTGGTGGTGATCGCCAGTGAATGTTGACAAGTGGAAAGGTTTGCACAGTGAGGATGTAGATCACTGGACAGACTATATTGCACTCACATCTCTGTATACTGCAACATTTTTACAGCTGTAATTGAAGGATGTCTAGAGGCAGTAGTATGAAGATGTAATTGAATTAATCTGTTTGGTAAAAGAAAAGAAGTGTTACTTTTCAGCATGCCATCCTTTTGAAGGCCTGGTTAGTTTTCAGGAATGTTGCCATGTTGTATGCGAGGTTCTTGATCTGTGTGGATCTTGAACTGAGGTCTGGAAGGCTTGTGTAGAAGCATTCTGTTTGAATGTTTGATGACAGTAATGTATTGTATTGAATCGTGACATGTATAAAGTGCTGGATTAATTTGTTTGTGCAGTGTTTGTAAGCAATACTAGAGCCTTCTCTTTGAATGTGACTTTTTTTGTTTATGGATGCCTATTCCTAGCAATGGCCAATATGTTCTGTATGGGTCTCCTATCCTTCTATATTTATCCTCCAGTATCATACAAGTTGCTTAGATAAAGTTAAGAGACATAATATGAATGTGTAGACAGAATTAGTGATTCATAGTTGCAAGTCATTAATATGGGATATTGAAATGAATATCGCCGGCAGTAACCAGCAGATGGTGAGGGGAAGTGAATTGTGGTGTGAGTCTTGCTGTACAAGTGTTTGTAAGGTAGATACTGAACTTTGAAATTACAGTAAGAATGGTGAAGGTGATTTGAATGAGAAATGAAATGTGATTGGTTTGGAAAGGGAAACAAATTGCAAGAGGAAAATGAAGAGCAACGTAGAATAAGGCAACAGGAAGTTGAGAGTTCAAGGGATTAGTATGAAGGAATGGAGGTCTGACAGTAATGGAAAGGAGATGAGAAGGATATGTGAAAGTGATACAAAGGTAAATCACTGAAGAATAGAGAGAAAGAAGGTGACTGCAAGTAATGTGCAGAATGTCTTTGACAAACATTGAGAGAAGCAGAAAAAGGCATATAATGAGGGATTTAATTTTTGAATAAACCAGAATTAAAAATGTGTTTTAATTTAAAATGGGGTAAAATTATTGTGCTCTTCATAAAGGATGGATAGGAGGAGGTTATAGAGGCCATATATATCTTGCAGCAGCTCCTTTGGAGGGGGGGGGGAAGTTTTGGGAAATATTTTTTGGCTCAAAAGAAAACTATATGGAAGCTATAATCAGTTGTGATATATGGAGGGGGAGGATTCCAAAAATAATCCCCTCCTTTTGAGGTGAAGACATGTTGCATATGGTACATGCTCCCAAGATACTAGTGGCAGTAAATGATTTATGACACATGAGAAGTCCATAATGGTTTTTAGTGAAGTAGGATTTATTATGGTTCACTAAGGGGGAATTTGGGAAGAACTGTTATGGAATGTCCGGCATGAGATAACATTACAGGTCAAAGGGTTTAGGGCAGATCAATTGCTGCAGCAGAACAGGGAAGATAGCCTTGGGGGGTGTTAAGTGTGCAAAGAGGGGTCAGTGATGTATCACATTTGTTATAATTTAAGGCGCAGAGTAAATATGGTATGTAAAGCACAATAGACCAGTGTAGGTTGCGGTGCAAGTGCCGAGAAGGCCTACCCCTCATACATTCTTTCTTACAAATATGGCATGTATAGCTCGTTTTGCAGTTTGTATGATCTGTTTGTAGTGTCTAAATATTGTGAAGGCTGAGTACTTGATGTACAAATTTGCACAGTACCTGAACATTATGTACTTGAAGACGCTTAGGATACATCCATAGCCTGGCATTCCTGGAGTGTTTCGTGTTGTCATGTGTAGATTCCAGATTTGTAAGTGGTAGGTTTTGATGCTGTGTCACAAATTGTAGAAAAGTGGCTTCATGGACTGCAATTTCTGTAGGAAGTGTTTTTTATTGCAGTAAGGGCATACAGGATTCCATGGGAACGGGATAGAAACAGGTGTAGGTCGGGATGCAAAGCAGGCACTGCAGTCGGAATTTATGTGAAGTGTTGAGACTTGGTCAAATTACAGCGAAATTTTGGAGTGTGAAGTGTTCTGGAAATATGTTAGTGGTATGGCAGGTGTGAGATACAAATGGACATGCTCAGAAGTGTGGGTGGTGAAAGTGCCGAGAAAGGTAAGTATGAGTATATTAATATATTGTGAATTTGATATTAGCATGTAAGAAGGAACAGATGAAGTAATTCTGTTGAAGTTGAAACATTTGCATGTGAAAGTGCTAGAAAATGGAGGCACTGAAGATTATTGTAATGACACAATGCAATATGAAGCAGAGTTAAGTTTATGAAAGGACTATTGAAGGGTTGCAGTGGGGTTACATTTTGTGGTAGAGAATTTTCATTCATGAGACAAGGAATGTGACATGTAGGTTACGCATAAAGAAGTTTATAATATTTTGGACGGATGGGGAACAAAATTTTAATCACTTCAGACCAAGCTAATTCAGTATGAGTTAACAAGAAAATATTAAATAAAAACTGTAGCGCAATCTGTGGAGTAAGACCTCGTGGAAATCCACGAAGTGTAATAAAAAATGTAGCATTTTAGTTTCTTATTATCTACCTTATTGGTCTGTGCAAACCGCTGCTCTGAAGAACTCATTTTATAGGTTGGGCAGGAGGAATTGGGGATGAGATTATGGAAGCGTGGGAACCATCCCATGACACCCTTAACATCATGTAGCGATTTAATCAGTAAATCTGAACACTCGAGACCTCGAGACGCTCGAGATTAAAACCTCATCGAAAATCCGCTTAGGGGCGACGTTCCGCGCCCGCAAAAACTGTTAAACGATTTCATTGTTCAGAGCTAACAAATGAACCTCTGACATGACCTTGCGTGGGTTGTTTTGGTTTCAAACCCAAGATCAAACTGTCAGCACCCCCAAAGACAGCACGTGTCCTGCCGCATATATATATATATACAGGGTGTCCCAGGAGGAATGTGCCAAACTTCGGGAGGGTGTTCCTTATGTTAAAGTATGCCGATATAACCCAAAACACCTATGTCCAAAGTTGAACGGTTACGGAGATAATGGCCAGAGAAGTGTCAAACTTTGACCGGGGTTACACACTTGTTGATTACAAAATAGATATTAAAACTGGCAGGAATATGTGGATTCTGTAACGTTAATAATGTACGTAACATCAAACTAACTTGTGAGTGACATGAAGCCATAAAATTGAAGTACAAAAAACTCGCATGCCATCTCAAAGTTGTCGTTAAGAGTTCCAAGCACTGTACATGACACATGAATGGTAAGCGATGACGTAACGTGCTGACTGCGCGTTCTGATAAAGCCAACTCCATAAGCACGGATAGGATGAATCACGGCAGTCAAGGACAAACAGAGATAATTCCTCTCAGCTGATAGGTATAATCCGTGGACCCGCTAGAAGACCACACTTTTCTCGGGCCATTATCTCCGTAACCGTTCAACTTTGGACATAGGTGTTTTGGGTTATATCGGCATACTTTAACATAAGGAACACCCTCCCGAAGTTTGGCACATTCCTCCTGGGACATCCTATATATATACACACACACACACACTTGGTCGTCGACTGATGACCGGCCGCACTTACTACCACAACATATGAAAAATAAAAAACAATTGAAATGTAAAAGTTTTTAAAAATAAATTATAAAGATGAAAAGATTATAAAGGTTAAAAAATACTGTTAATAAATATGTGGCCGACATACGACCAGTTCGACTTACGACCTGTCAGACAGAACGGAAGTCGGTTGCAAATCGATGACCAAGTGTACAACATTCGGCCAACACGGGGTTCTACTTGCAAGTCGTACTATATGAGGAAAGTGAAGGTAACAAATTTGTATAGATCTGGTGGTATGTGGGTAAGACACTGGTGTAGTATTGGGAAGGTACGGGGTTCGAGACCGCGGTGTCTTTTGTCAATAGAAATCGGAAAGTGAATAAACAAATACGATTTTTCTGCGGCTATAAACCATGTAGAATATGAGGAGGGACGCAGAAAGTGGGAGTGAAGATGTTCTGGTGGCCTAGAGGTAAGGTACTGGCGTTGTAAACAGAAGGGCCGTGGTTCGAGACCACAATGTCTTTTTGTAATGAGATTTTTTTTCTCTAATTATATAGAGAGATGAAACATAAGAGGATGATTAAAGGTAAAAACTTTCCGTAGTAACGGTGGCCTATTGGTAACGCACCGGCGTAGTGAGTGGAAATTCCGAGGATCGGGACCAACGAAAGTTTTGTAAAACAATAATAAGATTTTTCCCGAGGTGAAACATAAGAGGAAGAATGAAGTAAACAACATTCAGTGCTATTGGTGGTCTATGGCTAAGACACTAGTCTAGTGTGCAGGAGTTCCGAGGTTCGGACCCAACGAAAGTTTTATAAAATACAAATGGAGTTAATGAGATTTTTCTGTAATTATATAGCGAGATGTAACATAAGAGGAAGATTAAAGGTAAAAATTTTCCATGGCATTGGTGGCGTACTGGTAAAACACCGGCGTAGTGAAGAAGAGTTGGAAGGTTCGAGACCAAGTACAGTTTTGTGATTTAGAAAGTAAGTTAATTGATTTTTCTGGAATTATAACCGAAGATGTAGCTTAAGAGGAAGATAAAATAAGTTAAATTTCAGTGGTGCTGGTGGCTTAGGGGTAAGACATCAGTTTAGTGTTCAGAAGGTCCCGGGTTCAAAACCAGTAGGATTTTTGTGAAAAATAAAATGGAAAGGAGTTAGGAGTTAGAGTAAAGGAGGAGGGAGAGATAGAGGGAGGGACCGGGGTGAGGGAAGATTTTTTCTTTTTTTTTGCGGCCGCTCATTAAGACACTCAACCTAAGCGGGTTTTATTAAAATCCACATGGGATCAAAAAGAAAAAAAGTTTGGCCCACCATCCGCCCACCAACCACCCGCCCTTAGGGGGTTACTTTGACTTATTCATTTGAGACCAAATTCTATGAGTGAGAGTTAGCAAGGAAATGTAATATAACTGCAGCGCATTCTGTTGGCTTAAACCTCATGGAAAGCCACGAAGTGTAGTTAAAATATAGCATCTTAGTATCTTATTAGGCTGTGAAAACCAGTCCTCTGAAGAATTCATTTTATAGGGTAGGACAGGAGGTACTGAGGATGGAAGCGTGGGACCCCACCCTCACAATCACGCAGAAAGTGAATCACTTGAGACAAATGTAAATCAACGAGAGTTATCAAGAAAATATTTAAAACTGTAGCGCCATCTGTTGAACATTACAACAACATTGTTCAACAGATGGCGCTGCAGTTTTATTTCATTTAACTCTCGATGATTTATTTTGGTCTCAAGAAATTAACTTTCTGCGTGACTCCAAGAGCGGCTGAGGGTGGGAGTCCCACGCTTCTATAGTATTCATATTCATATGAAATAAAAAAGCGCCATCTGTTGAATATTACTCCACAGATGGCGAAGCGTGGAGTGACCTACACTTGTGGTCACGCAGAAAGTTAATTTCTTGAAACCAAGATAAATCATCGAGAGTTAAATGAAATAAAACTGCAGCGCCATCTGTTGAACAGATGTTGTAATGTTCAACAGATGGCGCTACAGTTTAAAATAATTTCTTGTTATCTCTCGCTGATTTATCATTGTCTCAAGAAATTAACTTTCTGCGTGATTATACGGGTGGGTGAGGGTTGGGTCCCACACTTCCATCCTCAGTACCTCCTGTCCTACCCTATAAAATGAATTCTTCAGAGGACTGGTTTTCACAGCCTAATAAGATACTAAGATGCTATATTTTAACTACACTTCGTGGCTTTCCATGAGGTTTAAGCCANGCTACACCGGTGTTTTACCAATAGGCCACCAATGCCATTGAAAATTTTTACCTTTAATGTTCCTCTTATGTTACATCTCGCTATATAATTCCAGAAAAAATCTCATTACAAAAATACTTGTATTTTTGAACCACCAACCTTACCTTTAGAATGCCTGTGTCTTACCTCTAGACCACCAGAACATGCATCCCATAACTGTCTACGATCATCCTTATATTATATGACTTGGTTTATAGCTGCAGAAAAATCGTATTTGTTTATTCAGTTTCCGATTTCTATTGACAAAAGACACCGCGGTCTCGAACCCCGTACCTTCCCAATACTACGCCAGTGTCTTACCCACGTACCACCAGATCTATACAAATTTGTTACCTTCACCTTCCTTATATAATACGACTTGCTTCCTACATGCACAAATTTCTTATATTTTTTATATTATTTTACGAACCACGTATCTTCTAAAGCGTTGCTCCTCAACCGCCGGGCCGCGGCCCAGTAGTGGGCACTGGCATCAATTATACTGGGCCGCGGGGGGCCCTTCTGGAATTTGTCATTTTCATTTTCTAAGCTTTTTCATGAATAAATATTTTATAGTGGAAATATTCTGAGGAGAATAATATTTGTGTCGAGAAGCTCAGACACAGAACACCTAAATCTGTGTAGCAAATGTCAGTGACGAAGCCGCATATTTTTAAACATGGAAGTATTCGTGAATAATCGGGAATTTTTAGACATCCAAATCTTTCAACATTCGGGAAAGGCAATACCGGTGTTCATGACCAGTCATAAAAATTGCCTGCAAGCCGATTACAACAATGGGCGGCATATCCTCTGTTCTCAGAACTGAGCGAAATAACATCTGTTTTGCAAATGTTAGTGACCAATCAGCAAGGAAGTATAAAGAAACTGTTTCCACTGAAATTGAAGATCAAGGCAGTTTTTATCCGGTTCTCAAATCTAGTAATACTGAATACTGTTTCTTCGCAAGTTCGCATTGCATTGTGTAAGTGCTTGTTTCGAAACCTGAGTGAAGATGTTGTCGTTTGAAAAATATTATCTCGACCATGAGGATCGGCGGAGGCAAAATATGTGGATTTTGAACCCTTTTGTTGAACATAAAGAGACAGCCCTTTTCCATGAAGGAACCCTTCAACTTAATTATCATCGGACAAAGGACTGGAAAGTACTTTTAATACTACTAGTAATTCGAAATTCTGAATAAGATGTACCATAGCTTAAGCGGTTAAGAGCTGGCTTCCCACTGCGTCGGCCCGGGTTCGATCCCGGGTCTGGTCAAGTGGGATTTGTGGTGGACAAAGTGGCGCTGGGCTGGTTTTATCCGAGTACTTCAGGTGCCCCTGCCAATCTTCATTCCACCAACTGCCACACAATCACTCTCACCTATCATCTGCGGCTGGTACAATAGGGCAGTAGTGGCCATAGTACAAGGGACTTAGACCCACCCCACAAGCAGTAAAAAAATATATTAACGACTGGCCATTACGAATCAACAAATTTGCCAATGTTTTTCTCTTTGCGGATGACACCAGTATTTTTGTCACAGTAAAATATCATGATGCACTTAATTACAATGTTGTGGATACCTTGCCTAGCACTGTAAATTGGTTTATATTGAACAAGTTGGTGTTAAATATTAACAAAAGTAATATTAATTTTGCTCCTAAACAGTATGCCAAATCTTTCCTGGCAGTATCCTTTGGGAATGTGGTAATAAATGAAGTCCCTGTAATAAATTTTTGGGTATATAATTAAATAACAAATTGAATTGGAAGGGTCATGTCGAATACATCCTTCTTAAACTCAGTTCTGCTATTTTTGTAATTAGGAGTTTATCTTATTTTATGGATTTGAAAACCCTGCAAATGGTGTATTTTTCTTACTTTCATTCTATCACTAAGTACGGAATAGTCCTCTGGGTCAATTCAACTAGTAATTCTAGAGTTTTTAAATTACAAAAGAAAATAACAAGGATCATATTGGGAGTGAGACCCAGAGACTCATGTAGAAGTCTTTAAGAAATTAGCTATTTTACCATAGTCATGTGAATATATTTATTCTTTGATACTGTTTGTGATAATCAAAATAATTTCTATTCAGGTTCAGAGGTTCATGGCCTGAACACTAGAAGCAAATATTAAAATTATATTCCAACTTAAAATCTTTCTGTTTTCCAGAAGGGCACTATGTTTACTGGTATTGGGTTATTTAATACATTGCCAAAGGCCATTTGAAGTCTTAGAAAGGATAGAATTAGTTTTAATCCATGTCTGTGTACATGTGCGCATGAACAGGTGTAAATTGATACGTGTACCCGTACACGCATCCATGCACGTGTCCAGGTCCACGTGTCTGCGCACACATGTCCTTGTACACTTGTCTGTGTGCCCGTGTATGTATGAGGGTCGTACTGCCTGCTTTATTATTGACAAACCAAATACACCACCTCAATCTAGAGACCTTTCTTTATTTTTCCACATAATCGCCACTTCTTTGTACACATTTCTCCCAGCATTCTGGGAGTTTGGAAATTCCGTTCCAGCCATCCGAAGACACTGACACACTGTTTTCTGAATTGCCTCCCTTGTCTCAAAATGTTGTCCACGCAGCTGAGTCTTCACAAATCCGAAAAGATGGTAGTCGGAGGGTACCAGATCAGGGCTATAGGAGGGGTGTGGAAGAACTTCCTACCACATCTTTGAAATTGCTTCCAATGTGAGGCAAGCGGTGTGGGGGTGAGCATTGTCATGCAGGATTATGATGTTTCGTGTTGGACGTTTATCGCGCAATGCATTACGGAGCTTGTGCAGCATCTGGACATAACGAGCAGCATTGATGGTTTGCCCAGGTTCCAGGAATTCGGCCAGAATAAACCCCTCTGCATACCAAAAGACTGTGCCCATCACCTTCACAGCTGATGGCACTGTCTTCACCTTCTTTTTTGATGGAGAATGCAAATGGTACCATTCCATACTCTGCCATGTCGTTTCAGGCTCGAAATGGTGAAACCAGCTTTTGTCACCTGTCACAATACAGAGCAAAAGATCATCGCCTTCGTGTCGATATCTCTGCAACAGTTCTGAGGTGATGGCATCTTGCTGACCTTTGTGGTCTTCGGTCAATAACCGCGGGACCCAACGAGCACAAACTTTCCTATAGCCCAAGCTTTCAATCATCTCCTGTACTGCACTGTGCCCTATTCCAAGTTTTCGGGCTATTGTGTCCACAGTCACATGCCTGTCATCTTGAATGATCTCATCCAGTCTTTCCTTGTTGCGTTCAGTTGAGGTTGTTCGAGGACGACCGCTCCAAGGCTGATCTTCGCTGCTGGCGTTCCCATCTTCAAACTGTTTTACCCTTCTTCGAACACTGCTTGCACCCATGCACATACTTCCATGACAGCATGCTGGCAAAACGACATATCGTTGGCCATTTTGTTAGGAGTGATACTGGTCAAGTGATGCAAGCTATTGACATCACAAGACACTCAAGGTTAGCACAGCAGCTGGTTCCACCTACCACCATACTCTCTTTCATCTGCTGTTCCCAGGTTGCATGCAAAAAAAGTTGCTCATGACTTTCGGTATGACCTACGTATGTATGTATGTATCCCAACCTGGAGGACCAGGGTGTGTTTAGATTTTGGGTCCATCTCCTATGGCAGTTCTTCCACCTGAGGCCGTGGTCCGCCCTGGTCTTGTTCGCACTGTGTGCAGGCTATCGTGGCCAGACAGGAGTATTTCTTGATCAACTTAAATAATATAATACAGAGTAAGTTTCGGATTAATAGAGCTTTCAAGATGATGCAGTGCCACATGTTGCATCTTATACTGTATGACTGAGATGAAGAATCAGGAAGGTATAAATCACCCAGTACTATGGGACTGGCAAATCAATTTGAACTTGTTGGTAATGGCATTAGAATTAAAAATGCAGCTGGGCCATGTGCATGCACCATTCCAATAGTGTAACACATTGCCGGTAAAGGTCAAAATGCTTTCTAACCACAAAAACAAAATCAAGTCATTATTTTACATTTTTATTACCAACATCCATTACACATCCAGAATAAACTTAAAAAATTCAAATTAACAAGAAAGGAAGATACATCTGTCACAAAACAAATAAAATTAATCACTTGAGATTTGCAGTAGTCAGAATGAAAAGCTTCACTTGGGGAAATATGTTACCATAAGAAAATGAGAAACAGGAGAATCTGATACATTCATTCTCATATCCTTTCCCGTTAACATACATCCAAAGTAAAAATTTATAAAGAGATGTGAATTAAATCAAATACTGTCATTACAAACTTGAAACATTCAATGGTTCAATGGTCATTAATGACCACCACGCTATGTACATAATTTCAAAGGTGCTTTACCCTCTATCCATGCTCATAACGTGGTACTGCGCAGTTTAAGAACAAATGCATAAAAGTAAAACACAAGTAAAGAAAAGGAATGACATATTTGTGGGTCTTGGAAACATGGTGAATTTGTGACATCAGAAATCAGTTCCCATTATAAGTGGGTGTGTGAAAGTATGTCACTGACTACAGCACATTACCAACACCACGAGCAAGAAGCAGTGCTGCTGCATAAGTTAATTTTTGAATTCCACTACTAATCTTCATTTGAACAGGAAGCTGAAACAAAGGAAAGACACTAAAATATTGTAGGTGGGTAGCCATGTTTCAGATAAACATACTGAAGACTGAGGTAAATGTTTCTCCAAAATGTTGAAACCCATCTATCAGTTTACATGGTGTCATTACCGAGAAGACCACAATACGAACAGGGAACAGTGTTCTCTGAACTGCATCAAATATTTCATACTCATTTACTACTGTGACATGAAAGCTGAAAGCTGGAACGGGGGCGCCACTGCAGATGTCCCTTGCTGAGCAATGGATTGGAAATCACGTTCACATTAAAAGAAATAATACTGAAGGAGTTGCTGTGAGGTAACACGCTGCTCAACATGAGATGTTTTGTGGCAATGGATAACACTTAGGAAACCATATCGCTGCTTGGGGAATTAATACATGGTTTCCAAGACAATGCATTCATGAAACACAGTAATGGATTTGTGAATTCAAGAGATTTGTCAGCCAGACACATTGTTCAAGGCAGTCAGAAAGTCTTTCATAAGGCAATTCAATAGTTGAAGTGTTAACCAGATAAGATTCGTTACCAAGCAACAACTAGTAAGCAGACGCTGAAGACTTTATTTTATGCATTACTGTTAAGTAATCTTTAGTGTTGCAATTAACTGCAGCTATGACTTGTGAGTGGCTAATAAATCTATTCATCTAATCCAGAACCCATTATTACTCATGACGCCAACCCCTTATACGTGACTGTATTTTATACCAGGTGCTATCTCTTTCAGACTTCTAGTTTATAATATAATACTTACTTACTTACTCATGGAGCTGAGCCCTTCTTAAGGAGCCGCAAATTCTGCAGCTACTCAAGAATTTCCCAGCATTGTATGGAACCCGAAGGTTCATTACCGTGTTCACAAGAGCCCTCCACTGGTCCCTATCCTGAGCCAGATCTATCCAATCCATACCATCCCATCCTCTCTCTCTCTAAGATCCATTTTAACACTGTCCACCCACCTACGCCTTGGTCGTCCCTGTGGTCTCTTTCCTTCCGGCTTTCCCACCAATATCCTATATGCATTTGTCTCCCCATTCATGCTACATGACCTGCCCACCTCATCCTCCTTGACTTGATCATTCTAATTATACTTGGAGAAGAGTACAAGTTATGAAGCTCCTCACTGTTTATAATATAATATTTTATTTAATTTTCTAAAAGATCTTCCCCTTCCACACTGATTGGGGGGGTGTTTTACAGCCGGTTATGTGGTTCAGAAACTGAAGTTATCTTTCATGCCACACAGCCTCATACATCTGTACTGCAGTACTGACTTTAAGGACCCTATTTTCTTACATTTTGTCTATGTGTTGTGTTCCATAAGATACAGTTTACAAGGGATATCCAGAAAGTAAAGATAAAAGTCCAGTAAAAATGCAAGGGAATTCCCCCCCCCCACAAAAAAAATTGCAGTGCTGCCATGTGAGATAGGGTCCATATGACAGAGCTGAGTTCACCGGCCACAGTCACAGCAAAGTTGTGCTTGCAGTATGTGTTTAAAATGGCCGTGTCGATTCAAAATCCCGCCAAATGTGAGGTTCGTGCAGTAATTCAATTTCTTCATGCGAAAGGAGAAACTGCTGCTGAAATTCATCACCAACTTGTTTCTGTTTATGGCAAAGATGTTATGAACAGGTAAAACGTGGCAAAATGGTGTTGTGAATTTGAAGCGGGACAAAGTGATGTTTGTGATGAAATGAGGAGTGGAAGGCCATCTGTTGTCACTGATAAAATCTTCCAAAACACTGATGAAAACATTCATACTGACAGACATTTAACCATTGATGAACTTCATCAACAATGTCCATAAGTGTCAAGAACTGTTCTCCTTGGCTAAGAGAGCAGGTGGGAGATTTCTATGATGCTGGAATAAAAAAACTTGTTCCCAGGTTCACCAAGTGCATTGCGGTCCATGATGATTATGTTGAAATGTAAATAAAGGTGTGCTGTAAAAGTGCTACAAGTGAATCCAAAACAAAAAATGCTTTACAAATATTTCCTGGACTTTGTATCTTTACTTTCCAGATATACTTTAAAAATCATTGACTGAAGAATTATATGCGATCCGCAACTAACCTGTATGGATATCCATGAGCCTTTGACCGGAAAATGGACAAGATAAGACTAAAGAAGGTTGCCACTAGTACCAACCCCACAATGGATAATATCCTACGTTTCCTCACGTCTCCTTTATGTGATGCTGCTTCTGTCATTAGAATCATCCCAAGAACTATAGCCGCATCTGATTGGTAGTTAAGAATAATAATCAAATATCCACATAACACTGAAATTAATTCAAGAATATAGGATAAAGGGGTGGATAGAAGTGACAAGATGATGTAAGAAGATGCTGGATGACCTTGGGGACAGAAGAGGATATTTTCATTTGAAGGAGAAAGCTCTAGATCGTATCAGGTGGAGGAACTGTTTTGGAAGAGACTGTGGACCTGTCGTCTTGACAGATTACTGATGATGATAGGATAAACACCATGTTGCAAACACATGTAAGGGCACATTGGTATTATGCAGGTCATGGACTGAGGTTAGGATTCATAAATAAGCCCTGGAAGATTAACTGAATTAACTCTTTTATGATTGCTCAGCCAATATAGTGACTGGCTACAGGTTTTCGGCTGAACATTTTCCCTGACCGTTAAACTGTAGAAAGGGAAGTCACCGCCTGGTTCTGACAGCAGTCCAAATAATTTTATGCTGCTAGTTTTCAGGGGATTGTGAAACGATGGGACCAGTGCCTCAATCTACAGGGAGGTTATGTTGAGAAATAAAAGCATTTTTCAAATCAATACTCTTATCTGTTTAAGGTATATATGCATTTGTAACTTACTTACTGACTTACCTACATATTTTAATATTACTTTCTTATATAAATAGATCTCCCAAGAGCTCTGTTCCCTTAGGTTTTCTGACTATAATGTTGTATGCATTTTGCATCTCTCCCACATGTGCTACATTTCCAGCCCATCCCACCATTCAATCATCACAGGAAAATCTGATGAAGTCTAAGACTGGATCCTCTTTGTGCAGTCTTAGGTCTAAATATTCTCCTAAGCACGTTGTTTTCACACAGGCAGGCTGCAATCAATTGTAGTGTTGTTTAAGATACCTGGGGTTATACAAATAAATATGCTCTTTCAAGTTCTTAGTAACACAGTGGTGATGACTGAGCCAGGCCAGACTTATATAACAGGGTAATACAGCATACGAAAACAAAAAATTATCTCACCTGTCAAGAGTAAAGTTAAAACTTTCTATAATATCCTTCCACAACATGTTATGGTAAATACAGTATTGCTTAAAGACAGAAAAAAATCTACTTTGGAGAAGTGATACAAAGCTAACAACAAAAAGTACAAACCCATTTGCCAGTTTGTCTCCTCATGCAGCAGTGAAAATAGCTCTTAAAGGATACTTAGCACCATAACAATGTATGTTTCTAAAACAAATTGTCCCTGTGATGATCCATGAATGTATGCAACACCTCCTGATGATGTCTTGTGGACAAATGGGGGGCCTCGAATGTGGTTCCACATCTGGCCAGACACCATGGCAAAGCAAAAGAACTGTGAACATGAAATGTTAGCACATCAAGGAAATGTAATGTGCAATCACCAGAGATGCATGCAGGATGTGGAAGTATGTGTCTATGTATTCAATGATCTGAGTGCAGTACACTAAACCTCATATTCTGGGCAATAACTGGTACTGAGCCTTTGCTGAACAAAATCCCTTTTGACATAGTGGACAAGAGAAAAGTCCCATTGCTTCAAAAAGGGTTGAGCCTAAGCATCTAGTCAATTCAGTATCTTAATCCTTTAAAGTATACTATTACAACTATATGAACCTACTGCTTTAACATTAGAAATGTGACGGTGCCATATCTCAGACGGTTATTTGACAATTTCCCATCACAATGGCCTGGATATGAACCCTGGTCAGGTAATGTGGAATTTGTGGTGAGCAAATTGGCACTGGAGTGGATTTCCTCCAAGTACTTTGGTTTTCCCTGCCAATTGCTCACCATTCATCAATTATCCTATTACCTTCAGTTATAGAGTACTGACACTTACTGCTTCATCAAAAAACCAACCAACCAAAAAGCATTAAAAAGCTCTTCATTTTGCCCACAGTGTGTATTTATACATTTTGTGTGATTTCTGGAATAAATAGCAATTATATCTCAAAACTTTTATTAATCATTTGATCTGTATAACAGATGTTTCTTGTGAGGCAGAAACTTAAATATTAAAGGTCAAAATAAAACTATCTCTGTAACAGTCCATAAAGGCCCATAGGGTTGTGAGACATCGAGGCTCCCACATTTTCTAGACAATCGACTCACAGATGGTGGTGAGGTTGTCAGCCTTACGCACTGGACGCCCTTTACCCCCACAGGAAGATTCCTGGTACTCATTTCTGTTAGAGGCTGAGTCAACCCCAGGGCCATAGTGTGGCTGGATGGATAAGGTAAATTGAAGAAATCCAATTACCTCATTGGGAATCGAACCCGTGACCTTCCAGCTTGCAGCATAGTGCTTCAACCAACTATGCTACTGTGTGCCCCCAGTTTTTAAATATTACTTGTAAGAAAATCATGCTTCAAGGGGTTCGTTTTTCTTGGGTGGGTTATTTTATGATCCTGCTAGTACCTAGGGCATATAGTATTGAACAGCATTGGAATGTATATGGAAGGAAGCAGCTGTGACCTACTTGAGGTACTATACTGGCTTGTGCATCAAGAGATTGAGGAAATCCACAAAGAACTCAGCTACCACATTTCCCATCTGAGATTTGAATCAAACACCCGCTGAATACAATTGTAGAGATTAAGTACTACACCAACTTGCTCAGTTCCAAACGGTTAATTATGACTCTCTTCACTGAAAGGAAAGTGACATTTATGAACACTGTCTACTTACCACAGCCCCAATACCCCAGCAATTTTTATTGTAAAGGAAATCAAGGTTGTTTCTTCGGAGATAGAGGAATCCGGCTACCACAGCAAATAACATGACTAGAGCCACAGTGCCAGAATAATTAGGTGGGCGAAACACTCGGATCTGTAAAACACATTTCCACATATATACTTAAATCTTCAGCATTATACTGTGATGTAATATTCTTTCAAGAAAATGTTAAAGCAAGGAGAAAATCTTTGCTGATAATACTATCAAAAGAACTGCCTATCAAAGTCAATAAGAACCACAACTAGGAATTTACAATTACCATAAACTTGAAGAAAGCAGTCTTCTGGGATTTGGCACCATGTATATGTGGTGTTAACCGACATTTCAGAGGAACGTATCGCCTCCATCTTCAGGGTAGAAGGAGAGACCGTGAGAACTGGGAAACCTTTACCGGTTCTCACGGTCTCTTCGCTTGCGGATTTCTTATATTTTTCCTTCTACCCTGAAGATGGAGGCGATACGTTCCTCCGAAACGTCGGTTAACACCACATATACATGGTGCCAAATCCCAGAAGACTGCTTTGTTCATAGTCACCACCGTGAAAGCCTCAAATCTTACATACCATAAACTTGTTTCATGGTATTCAGAAATCAGAGACGTTTCGATCAGTTTCTCAAAAGAAAGGGGCTGGGGAACATCACAGATCACTTCAGTCCCAATAATGGTCATTCAAACTGTCCACTGACCTTCTGTCTATAAACAGGTCATGCAAACCATAAACATTGAGTCTTTCATGCTCATGGCCCATATCTCAGCATTTGTATATTGTAACTTGCAAATTAAGATAGAGCTGGCTCTGCATGTGGCAGAGAGAGAACTGACAGCAGATTCAGACACAGTTCTGCCACAATATAAACTACTAATTCACATTTATCTATCAAAGATAAAACTCACTTCTTGTCAAAACATTCCAGTGCACAGCTAGAACTGTTTTATTTTCCAAGCAACTATATTGAGAAGCACAGGCATGCAAAATTTTAATTTAAAGAGACAAATATTTCAGCTGTAATCTATAAGGAATATAATTCTGGGATGCAATTAACCAGTTAAGTGTACATATTCTGTGTTCTTATCTCCCAGCAGTGGGACATTTAAATTTGTTACTGCGGTGTTTAATTTTATAATTGTTACTCCCTTCTCCAAAATTCAATATCAAAACCATATATCATAAAATTATGTAACAAAATATCTCTAAAAGACCAATTACCAGAGTTCATGTTTGTGTATTTTCATTTATATGGCCATTACATTAAAGTTTATATATTTAGGAAGATTCCATACTTTATTCTCAAAATGTACACCACTGTCGCCTCTGACTTGCATGTCAGTTCCCCATATGCTATCATGAAGGTATGTCCGACTCACACACATTCAGTACATGCAGTCCTGATGGCAGCATCTGGTGTTTAGAAATGAAACACAATTGTAGAAGGTGACTGACAAAACTACCTCCATGTATGTCTGATTATTGCAAACTCCGCCACAGCTGTTGCCAAGGCCAGTTGTGTCAAGCAGTCTATTTACACCTGCTCACGCTGGATCTTTGCCAGCAGATTTTCTTCTTTTTTCTTCTACCCTGAAGAAGGAGGTGATATGTTCCTCCGAAACATCGGTTAACACAAGATCTACATGGCGCCATATCCCAGAAGACTGCTTTCTTCATAGTCACTGCCATGAAAACCTCAAATCTTACAAGAATTCTGCTCACAGCTCTTGAATCATAGGGCCATAGAGCATACAGGGCTTAGATCAAGGTACCTTCACAGTCCTGACCAATCCCAGTGCAAAGAATGACCAAACATCTGTCAAAAGGTGCTCCAGGCCTAGTACTGAAGAAGGTGGCAGAAATACTGCAGGGGGAAACTGCTGGGATATCCCATACAGGTACCATGATAGCCAAGACTTCTTCGGAGGAATCTCTAGAATTATAAACTGACCTGGAAGTTAAACCATTTAGAAGGAAACAGACTGACTGTCCTGAACATTACATTACCTGCACATCAGTTCTCTCAGCAATCCACTTGGCAATAGCTTCAGCTGCGAAACCAATTCGCTGAATGTCCATTGTATCACTTTGCTTTGGCTTGCCTTTGGGTGGGAAATGCATGAAAACTGGAGCTGTATTTAATCGAAGCTGCAATAGGTGAAACAAAATATTGTTAAGCAGTATTTCTGGAGATTTACTTTTCAGTTATTCACTCTACTTACCTACCGCCATGGGGCTGAGTCATTTTTAAGAAGCCATCAATTGCTTAACTACTCAATAATTTCCCAGCATTTTATGGAACCCAAAGGTTCATTACTGTGTTCACAAGATCCCTCCACTGGCCCTAGCCTGAGCCAGATCAATCCAGTCCATACCACCCTATTCTATCTCTCTAAGATCCATTTTAATATTATCCACACACCATCTTAGTCTGCCTAGTGGTCTTTTTCCTTCTGGTTCTCCCACCAAAATCCTATATGCATTCATATTCTCCCCAAATCATGCTACATGCCCTGCCCATGCCCTGCATAGTTTTTATACTGTACAACACCAGCATTCTGTCAGCATAGTTGCAACACATTCTGCATATGAGGTAGAAACGTTGTGTAGATAGGTTTCTGCCTATAGTCTGTTTCCCTTAGTTTTCACCCTGGGCTGAAGCACTCTGTGAATTGCTATGCTTGGTAAGTACTTAGATGGATGCCTACTCAGGAACATCAGTTGCAAGTGGCTTCTTGGTGCATTCCATGGCTCTTAAATGGTGTCAGCTGCTCAACCTTCCAAGTCCACAGTTCTAAAGGCCCAGATGAGGCACACGAAACCTACATATTCACAGCAATTCACCCACCTTAAACACTTCGACCCTGAAGATGCAGGAAGCATGTACTCTCCAAAATAATGGCAACATTGCCCATAACAAGACAAGAATGGAATGAACATCAATAGCTACCCACTGTGAAAGCCTAAAATCTTACCATTTGAAACACATCTGGTCCTTCATCGAAATCGACCACAGCAAAGAAAAGTTTGTTTGAATATATCTGAGAATAGCGGAATGAATTGGCAACTATCTGGAATTCATCATTAGCATGCCTGAAATAAATCAAAACAGAAAATTATATCATAAAGATGCCACAACACCTTCCACAGTTCTGACATTGTGCAGGTAATTAATTTACTGAAAATAACACATTACTTTCCTCAAGTCTGGTTAGATGTGACAAAATGATAAACTGAATGGTAAATTAATTGGTTACTAAACTAGGATGTTGTCATAACCAGTTACTTTAGTAGAGCTAACTTGCCCCCCCCCCCAAAGCTCCATGGCTTGTTGGCGAAGTTAGTACCAACTTTAGAAGATAGAGGGTGGCGCATGGTCAGTGCGATGGATCTCCATGGCCGTTAATCTCGGTTTTCTAGACCATAACTCTTCACACACACTATATACATCAAATGCACCTCAGAAAATAGCCCATATCCAACATAACTGACAACTAATCTTCTGAGAATCATGAAACTAATCTAAAATATCACAAAACATGACTGGTTCCCCAGATCAGGAAATGTGAACCCTCCCACACATACAGAAAGACAATTTGGTGATCATGGTCACTGGATGTTGCTGCTGCTTCAACTCAGTATGCCACTGTGATGGTGACTGCAGCAACACTGTACATCGAAGGGTATCAGCCCACTTGACACACCTGCCTTACAAAACTTCCAAACTTAACTGTACCTGCATAAAACTCATGGCACATTATCCACCTATAGCTTTGGTGTATAGGCTATTGACAAGAATAACTACAATTTTAGACTGGAAATAAGAAATACCCAGCCTTGATCGTTTACTAATGCACTGAAGAAATCCAGAAACAAGCACTTGAAAGATGGGAAACAAAGTTGGCAAACTGTGAAGTCACATTTCAAGCAATATGGCCTACTGTGAAATTCCTCACATAAAGGAGTGGACCAAAGGCAGCATCTGCAATTCATGGTCCCTTAGGCCCTGTATTTTATCCAGCTGATAAAGCCACCATAACTGCAGACTGCTTAGAAAACCAGTTCACAGTGCATGCCTTATGTAACTCTGATCACAGACAACAGGTAGAGGCTAAAGTAGAAGCCTTGCTGGCCACCAATGATGAAGACACCAGTTCGTTTCCAACCCTGTGATGTCTTGCAGTCCTTGAAGCTTGTGGTTTTGATGGCATTCCACCAGCAATTTAACTGACCAACAGACTGACCATTCATCTCATACCCACAGGACCCCAAATACCAACATTTCTATCATGGAGTGGAACATCATGCATATGATACAGTATCGCTTGCTTACAAACAAAAATGGAGGGGTTCAGCTGGTGCCTAATCGTACAACTGCATGCTGGTTTCTTGTTGCCCTAGAAGAAACAAAATGGTTTTGCTGTTGTCAACCATGTATCATGATTCTATAGATGAAGAAACTAGTAAAAAAGAGAGAGAAAAAAAAGTCAAGCTATCCCTGTAACAGGCCGTGGAGGACCACAGGGTTGTGAGACGTCGAGGCTCCCACATTTTCTAGACAATCAGCTCACAGATGGCAGTGAGGTTGTCAGCCTCATGTGCCAGCTGCCCTTTACCCCCAGGAAAATTCTTGATACCCATATCTGCTAGAGGCTGACTTGACACCAGCGCCATAGTGTGGCTGGAAGGATTAGGTCAACTGAAAAATACAATGAATTCATCGGGAACCAAACCTGCAACCATCCGGCTTGTAGTCTAGTGCCTCAACCAACTATGCTACTGCGTGCACCCAGAAGAGACTGGTGACTACAATGAAAACCAAGATGATCACATTTTATAATATGATGAAATTTGGAGTTGATCTACTGGATCACCTCTGCCAAAAAGAATGTAGCATGGAATACAAGACGGTTGGCTTATGGTTACTTTTTACAATTACCTCAATATACCTGCAATCAATACTCATTGCATTTGCAAGGGAAAAATCGGCAAAAGGGCTATGATGTCATGAGAGCTCACTTTTTACAAAACATTGCATGGTAAATGGCAAAGCTGCAGATACAATGAAGATATGCAACTCCACAAATTCTTGCAGAACTCCAAAGATAATGCCAAAGCGTTACTAGGAGCTGACAAGCCTACAGTCTCCCCCCACCCAATGGCATGGATCCAGAGGTCAGAATTTTGAATGTGGTCAAAGCCTTGATAGAACAATGAAGACGTGGTATCATAGGTGGCAAAAATGTTTTTGTGGTAAGCAGCTTAAAGATGTGTATATAAACTGTGTAAGAATGGGATGGAATGGAAACTCACCTACAAATTGCGCACTGCCGTTGTGCAGCCATTGCTGAAAACATAACTATGACAGAGTAGTTGCGTGGGGTTGCTCTGACATAATCACGGAACTTGTTGCCGTTGAAGCGCAGGACAGACCGTTTATGGTTCATGTCAACTAACTGCTGAACTCGCTCACTAAGGGTCTGTCCCTTTGGAAATGAAAACAGATTACAACTTGAAAAATGATCAAATGAATGAGTTAATACTAATAAAACTGTATTAAAATTAAATATGACAGAAGAAGTCTCTTTTGAAAAAGGAAAAGAGTGGAATTTCTATCTAATTAAAAGGAGATTATTATTTTTGAAATTAATATCAAAGAAATGTAGCGATTAATAACAAAGAAATATTTAGTTGATATTAATTTTTGAAATAACCTCGTTTTATGGTTATGATTTCATATACAGAAATGCTTGTAAATGATGCATCAATATACTTACATCCTTCTTCCGTTGCTGTCCGTTTATAGTTTTTATAATACAAAGAGATGATAAAATTACACAGAACCATAATATACACTTCATTTTCCGGCAGTACTTAACTATACGTATAGCTCATGCAGTCACCAGCTGTTTTCCGCCATGTTGGCAACTCATAGCTCGCATCCAATCACGAAAGTACAAATAAATATTTCCTGTTATTGGTTGTAAGAGCTCAACTGTAAGTGGTCCGTAGGTAATACGCGATCTTATTCGTTCACGGTTCTTAGTGATTGTATTTAAATTTAAAATACACAACTGAAACCGACGGTTAACATATTAGTTTATGCAAGTGCTTTGTCAGTGAAGGTCTAAGTGTAATAACAATAAAGCAGTGAAGTAAGCGAAAATGTCGTTCCCTCGTGCCAAAATTCAACGATTTAATGACACAACAAGTGAGTTACGTTTTTATAAAATTACCAATTTTTTTTTACTATTTTTGGAATTTACCCCATTTTGTTCACTTTTCTTTTTTTTTGGAAACTTATGAATGTGGTGCTGGTCAGAGCTGTGGAATTATGATCATCCACTTACCTTGGATAAGTTAATGGAACACAGAGGCGGGCACAAAGATCATTTTATGAAGCATACTGCAAGGCAATGGTTGAATGGATTTTGTTAAGTCGCTAGAAGTTTCAAGTTAAATTTCCAGACCTCTGGTGACTTGCAGTACTTTGAGGTTAATTTTCACTTAGTGAAAATCCATACTGTTAATACTATAGACAGAAATAGACCACCAAATTGTACCATAATTACTGATCTATGTAAAATAAAAAAGATGGCATCCCTGTGCTTAACTAATTGAACACTATGCCATGCAGATATATGGGCGTGGGGGTTGGTTGTAAAAATCATATATTCTTGACCCCAGCACTAGCTGGAGGTGAGTGGTCAGCTTCATGCCCCAGCTGCTTTACCCTGGGGGAAAGAGTCCCAGGTACCTACTGGATAGGAGGCTGGGTGGACCTTAGAATTAGTTCAGGCAATGTGTAGAGGAAGACAATCTTCCCTCTACCAGGACTCAAACTGTGACCCCTTGGCTGTCCAACCAGTAACCAGTCAATATACAGACTGCTATCCTGGCTCATTATCAATCTCTGTCCACACTGAAATATGTAAAAGAAAGTAAATATTGTAAGTTCTTCCTAGAATTACTTTAACTTTAGATAATAATATCTGACTGCAGAATTATCATACAACTATTTTTTTGATTTGTTTCATTCTGGTCTATCACACTAATAATATTATGAAAAAGTTAAATAGTTCCGTCCTATGTGACCGGTTAAGATTTTTTTTCTTATTTCAATTATTCATGCCCTTACATGTTTCGTTCTTCAGAGATCTACTTCAGAGGGACACCTTTACATCTATACAGTTAGAAGCCACACTGGACAGAACATACAACTATTGCTTATTCAGCACTATGCCATGGCTTTCACCATATTTGAAACTGATGATTTTCAATTTTTACAAATGTCTAGAATGACCGAGATTATACATTCACCAGAGGTGTATGGTGAACAATTCATTTGCTTTGTGAACTTAACACTGTGCGCAACATGTTTAAAGGCAGAAATAATTATTGAAATCATTAGTTTGAAAGCTGGAAGGGAGTTGGATAGTACGAATATCGAAGACTGACTGATGCTGATTGGTTCTTGCCAAGTGATATTTTTTATGGCAAGTAGTATCCATCTGGAACCTTGTTCGAATCACAAAACAACAAATCTAAAGAATTTAAACTAAATTAACAAAAATAATGCTTGTTGAAAATTCAGTAATGTAAGCTGAACCTAAATTACCTGCTGAAATATGCTTATCTTGTCTGATAAAGAAGGGGTGCAGGAGCACCAGTGGCAGAAATAGAAGTTTGTGTATGAATTGCCTAGCATTAAAGGAAATCAATGTATGGTTTAATAGCTGCTTTTGCAAGTTGTTAGTAACTTACATTCTACTTACAGGTTGTGTACCACCACCAGGAAGCTATGATCCAAAGTTTGATGCGAAGGTTAAGGGGGCAGTCATTGAGAAGAGTGAGAGATTTGTCGAACCAAAATGCACCCCAGTGAGCAGTATCTCAGTTGAGAGTCCAGCAAACTTGTCTCTGACTAGCAGCAGTAGCAAGACAGCAAGTGTCAATTGCTTACCTGTGTTTCGAACTGTAAGTACTGATTAAATATATTTTGATGAGTACGATCTTTGGGGATATAACGCCCATGTAGTCTGTTGAAGGTTGCTTGGCTTATTTGACCTGAAAATGGAGATGATATGTTCCTCCTAAATGTCAGTTGACTTTCAGTGGACTACATGGCATTATATATCAGAAGATTGTACTCTTCATACCCACCACTGTGAGAACCTTAAATCCTACATAAATATATTGTTAGTAGCTTTGTTTTTCACTGTTTTCCCTCAAGGAGAAAAGGTTAACTTATGAGATGATCACACAAAGAGAGAGAAAGTGCACATTCATGCGGATTTGGGTTGGGGGTGCATAGGCATATATGCACATGTCTGAGTTCCCTACTACAATTTCTGAACCATCTGGCTGGTTTTTATGAATGTTGATATCAGTCTTGAGCTGCTTAATTTCTTACAATTAGTACTGACATGGTGCATACACACGCTTGTGAGGTTGGAGTCACACTGAACCACTTAGTACAGAGCCCTAGAATAATGTGGTATAAATAAATCTTAAAAAAATGTGCAACATTTATTTAGTTGTGGAGTAAAGGGACACCATGTTAGGTGGGTCCCTTGTCATCACAGCATGGTGTGTCCTCAGGCTGCAGATGGAGGAGATGGCCTCCAAATATGAAGGGTAGCTGAAAATGTACTGAATAAGCAGTTGCAGACAGCCAATAAGGTACGGCTCTCCAGTTTGGGGGTTTGGCACGGGGCTAACAGCTCCTCACCATAAAAAATAAACTTATAAGAGGTTAAACAGTTCTGTCCAATGGGACTAGTAAAGATTTTTCTTATTTCAATGCTTCATCCCTTACATGTTTTGGTCTTTACAGACCATCCTCAAAGGGACATCAATCCAATCAGAAGCCACTATTACAGTATGTGTATCCCTCTGAGGATCATCTGTAAAGACTGAAACATGTAAAGGGTGAAGGAGTGAAATAAGAAAAATCTTTACTAGTCACATTGGATGGAACTGTTTAACCTCTTATGATATTGTTAGTGTGACGGACCAGAATGAAACAAATCAAAAATAAACTTGTTACAAAATGTCACGAAGAGCCTTAGACCTGGATGGATTCACGGGAGAGAAGAAATACTCTTTATGACACAAACACAAGGAAAACAAAATTTACTATTCAATCTACACTTGATGGATTTGTAGTTTTTTTTACTTCTGCTGTGATGATGGGGGTCAAACAGACATGTGGGTCGGTTCCTTGTATTTCCTGTATGTGGTGTTGGGCTCAAACTGCAAGACCTTCGCTTCATTCCAACATATTTTGTGGCCTTCCTTGTATGCATGTTGGGCTAATTCTGATTCTTCAAGCAAACCCTGTTTCAGACATATTTGTGCTCCTTATTGCATACTTCTAAAGGTCTGCTTGTTTCACCAATGTAACATCTGCCACAATTACATCTGAAGCTGTACACACACTGCTTCATCTGCTGGGCATCTCTAACCGGTCCAGTTTTCATCAATGTCCCACGGACATTGAAAATGGTTCTGAGATTGAAAGGGTTTCTGATGCATCTGAAGTTCTCAGAAGTACCCTTAACATATGGCATGATGACAGTGCCCTTGTATATTGTCTGACGAAGGACGATTTCTTGTCTATGGATTCATTACACAGTCAACGAATTCTTTTGGATATTCATTGAGCATCAGATCATGTCTTGTGCTTTTAATTTCATTGTTGAAATCCTTCTGGTTTTGACACAAGACCTTGCTCAGTTGACCAAACTCTGAATGACTCCCCTTTTTATGTGACAGGATGGTATTTTTAGATAAAGAGAGGATGATGAATAATATCCAGAAACATAATATTTGCACTAATGTGCCATCATCACAAACTTTTAGATCTTATTTACATTTTTTCTGTTTTTCTTTATGATATGTTATCTCCCAATAGATTTACATCATCAGCATAGAACAGCAGCTGATGTGTCCCATTTAATTTCAGCCCTGTTGGTTTTCCTGGACCTACCTAATGGCATATCCTAAAGTAAGGTTGAAAAGCAATGCCAATGAAGCCTCCCCTAATTTTAATCCATTTTTAAAAGGAAACATACAGACAACTGTTTACCTATACAGATTTTACTGTATGTTTCTTTTAACGATTTTAATGAGCCTCACTAGTTTCATGGGTACCCCAAACTATGAGATATTGTACAATACTTCCCTCAAAACTGAATCACAGGTTTTCTTGGAGTCTACGAATAGCTGATGTACTGTCTCATTGTACTTCCATTTTTACCCCATTATGTGATTACAAAAAAATCTAACTGGTAGTTCATCTGTTATGTTGAAACCTACAATGATGGTCCCCAGTAATTTTGTCTTCACATGGGCTTAACCTTGGGGGAAGGATATTAGATAACGTTTTGGATGAAACTGGTAACAATGATATTCCTTGATAATTACTACAGTTATACCATCCTTCTTGTAAATTGGTTCAATAATAGAGTCTTTCCACTGATAAGGCTGTTCTTTATTCCAAATGGGAATAATATGTATATAGATCTAAGACTGTAATGTTCACCTCCTGCTTGAATCAGTTCTGCCAGAATTTGATCATTACCTGGTAATTTATACTTTTTCAATTTTGCACTAGCAGTTTCAACCCTGAAAGAATTAGGCTCACACACTAATGTCTCTGCTGTAGGTATTTCTATCTGCTTAACATAATTGACCCTCTGTTCATTCAATACCTGAGAGAAGTAATTCTACCACTATTTCAAAATACTGTAAGAATCTGCAAGCAGATCACCATTTTCCTCCTCTACTAAGTTACGTATAGGTTGGTAACTCCTCTTAAATTAATTTATTCCGCTACACAAGTCTCTGTTGTTCTTGTTCTAACTTTCTGTTGAAAACTCATTAATTCTGTCTTTCAGATATTCCCTCTTCTTATTCCTGAAATGCCTGCTAGCTTTATGTCTTATATTGTTTGGATTATCCCCATATATTTTGCTTGGATTATGTAACCATTGCATTTTGGTTTGTTTCCTTTAGCACTCAGAATTACTGGGGTTTTGGACAATGGACAAAGTCCGAAAATCTAGTAATTCCGAGTATTATACACCACTGTAAAAACCCTTTAGAATCTACTTGTTGCCTTTGATCTAGTAATTTTGAACATCTTTCGCAAAACTATGGCTTATGCTTCTTCAGTTCATAATAACCTACAATCTCTTTGGCTTAAATTTTGATTGTATTATTTATTTACTCACTGCCAGTCTCTTGCTAACTTTGGCCACCACCACTGTCTCAGTCTACTCCCCTGACAGATCAAATATCAGGTACACTTGAATGTCATTTTCTCTCGGTCCAAACGTGTCATCTGGTTGTGGTTCTTTTCATTAGGAGAAGTCCAAGTAAATTTGTAAATATTACAATGGGGGTACATGGTAACTTCTGACAGTCAGATTTTCTCATCAACAGAATGAATAAATACTCAATCACAGATAATAACAAAAATAAGGAAGAAACTACAATTAGAATAATACTAGATAATAACAACTACCCACATAATATTATACAACAAAAACATAACCCCCCCCCAAAAAAAAACAAAAACAAATGAGAAATAAAATTGGCCACCTTGACTTTTTTCGGGCCAGAGACTAGAATGCAAAATTATTCAAGAATGCTGAAATTGGAATATCACATAGAACTAAGAATAATACAAAACATTTATTATGAATAAAAGAAAACAACAAGGTATAAGCTAAGCAGAGTATATCGATTACAATGTGCAGATTGTCCATGGAAATACATAGGACAAACAAGATGAACATTTAAAACTAGTTTCAAAGAACATATAAGAGATATAAAGAATAACGGACAAAACTCCAAATTCACCCAACATATATTAGCGACTACACATGAATATGAAACAATGGGGAAAGCAATGAAAATCTTACATATAGAAAAGAAGGGTCAGGTGTTAGACACCTATGAGAGATTTCACATGTATGAAATCAGTAAGTGCAACATACAATTGAATGATAATTTTGCCGAGATATATAATTACATATATGATGTAATAATAGCTGCCTACCAAAGTACATGAGATGAAGAACAACAACCAGAGTAACCCATCCCACCACATCTACACACATAATGCATACCACTAGACCAGTTACAAACTGACTTTTAACGGAACTGGACATTGAAATGTGGAAAATAAAATAACCCATAAAATAGTAAGTAGACAATGTAGCTGGAGTACAACTGACCAATGTTTCAGCCATTATATTCAGCCAGAAAGGAATAATGGTAAATGTTTACTATATTCTACATATTAAATATTTACAGAAAAGAAAAGACTGAAAATAATAGTGTACAACATCACACCGACTGATTCCAAACAACACAGCTGCTTTATGTGTGAATTAAATAGAAATAACTAAGTCACAACCAAAACAATGCCTGTAAATTACCACATAATATAACATCGATATTGCAATGATAAACATTAATATGTAATAATATATGAGACATCTAAACACAGCATAGTAATATCTTAAGTCTACAATAAGTGTATGTCATAATTTTAAACTGTGGGGACATCCCACATAGCACGCTGTTTCCACCGGTCTTTTAGACAACACTCACTCCTTAGTGAATATCGCATTGCCGGACGTCTCGTTCATATTTATACCAGCACGCACTGCAAATTCCTGCTCCTCATTTTCGCTAGCCAATCAGCGCTCTGCAAATTGTTGCTCCTCAATTGCAAGTTTCGCTCCGCCCACCGAGCATTGTATAAAAGGCAGAGCACAACGCTCGCAAGTCAGTCAGTTAACAGTCAGTTCTCAAGCAGTCTACGATCAGCAGCCTTCAAGCATTCAGCACACTTCGTCGCCAGCGCTCGGTCTATGGAGGCATTGGCGCTTCGCTGCGCCAGGCATGACTGCCATGGCTGTCCGGCGGTTGCACCCGACTCACTGGGCAACTAGGCCGCCTCGATTCGCCGGTAGTCATGTCCGACACACTGGGCAACTGGCGTAGCTACCGCCTCTCTGCTCCAGCGACCGCGCTCGATGACCAGACTTTCACCAGCAGCTGCCGTGCTGCGATCAAGCAACCTCCACCATCTGCCGCACTGCGGCCAGTCCACACACCGCAACCAACATTCCTTCCTACCGGGGTGCACTGTGCTACTTCACCGGTCAAGCATCTCGGCAACCAATGGTCCTTTTCAGGACCTACAACTGTTCCGAAGAAGTGGGTTGTCATTGAAGTAACGACACAGACAAAAACCCCACAAAACTTTTGTAATTTATTATTATATTATTTATATTTTATATGACTGTATGAATATCTGTAAACATCAATTAACATAAAGTCTGTATTCTAGTTAAAAGGATATATAGGAGCAGTAGTGGCTTTAATTTTGACAAAATGCTGAAAATCTGATGCATTAGTAATAATTGTAATACTGACATATATATCCATACAGAACACAATTCAGTGGTTTAAGAATTACTTATTACTGTATATCTGCCTGATGTTGGCTTTTCATAAGCCAAAACATGTAGCAAGATATCATTGAAATCAATAAACTTGTTATACACAGTTAATGTGAATAAGATTTTGAGAAATGTGTTGTGACGGATAAACACACAATTAGTCAGATTTTTCGATGTGGCAACTTTATTACCCTGACTCCATTATCATTACTAATTTCGTGTAAACTCTCATTCTCAGTTGTTGGTTTGGAAATGTCTTCCCTGCCTACTTTGGCATTGAAATCTTCTAACATAATTTTCATATGGTATTTAAGGAATTTATTGAATATACATTCTAGTTCTACATATGTCCTTCATATCATCAATTTTATCCTCTGTAGAGACATGAACATTCAGAGCAATGATATCACACCTGTGACCTCTTCGAATTTTGTACGACATACTATCACTAATGAACTCTACCCTCTCAATTGCTATGATTCCTTTATGTACAAAGAAACCTGTACCCAATTCATGATTTTCATCCCCCTTTCTGTAAAAAAAAGTGCATTTATCTGATGGTTTGGTGCCACCCCTGTCCCATCTGACCTCTTGTACTCCTACTAAATCTAATTTATATTCTGATATTTCTTTTGCAACTGTTGTGAGCTAATCTTTCCTGTATAGGCTCCTTATATTCAGTGTTCCAAATCTCACATCCATTCTATTTAGCTTAGGTCATTTATCCAAAGAATCCATCCATGTCTGAGGCCCCGTGTAACATTTCATAAGAAATTAATTTTTTATGGTGAGGAGTTGCAAGCCCCACCAACCCCCAAGCTGGAGGACCATCCCGTGACAGCTATCTGTGACTGCTTATTTAGTACATTCACAGCTACCCTCAAATTCAATGCATGAAAATGGCCATACAGTTTTCTTCAAAATTTTTATATCCAGCTTTGAATTCAGCAAATCATAATTAATTTAAAAAGTTTTTCTGTTACCTTAATCTTGCTGATGGTGGTGTTAATTTATGATTGTTGCTAGCCTTACTATTTAGACTAATATTTAGACTAATAAGGTTGTTTCTAATACTTCTTGTTGCATAATTTATGTTGTTGATGTTGTTAATGAAGGGTTTTCTTTTGTAGCCCCAACTGCCCAGAAGAATAGCAAAACATGGGAGCTCAGCTCCTCAAGCTAAAATGAAACTAAAGTTCGAAGCATCACAGAAGAATGGAAGTTCAATGAAAGAAGTAAACATGGAGCTGTATGAAGCTCTGCTTGTCGACCGTGATAACAAAGATGCAACAATTCGTGATAATGAAGTTCACATTGATGAACTCTATGAACAGATCAGGAAGCTTGAAAAAGAATTAGGTCAGTTGCAGTCAGAGAAAGATGAGTTAAGTGAGAGACTTAAAATAGGATTTCAGGGAACAGACAGTGGAACATCGGGGAACGTTGAACTTGAGAGCAGTGAATTGATTCATGTGAAACAGGAGTTAGAAAAGACATCTTCTGATTTGCTTGAAGTCAAGGAGAAATGTTTAGTGTTAGAAAATACAGTTTGTGAGACTAGGACATTGCTGGCAACTGTGGAACAAGACAAACAGAATTTGTTGTTGAAAGTTAATCAGCTTAAAGTTAATGAAGAGGAATCAAGGTGCAGGTATGAAGCTGACATCAAAGAGTTGGATACCTTCTGTAAGAAGCTTGTGGATGAGATGGCAGGTATGAAGGCTGCAGAGGATAAGAAGGAGGAGGACTTTGAGGAGGATGTTAAGAAGCTGAAAGAAGAACTGTCAAGTCTCAATAGTGCAAACTCTGATCTGGATAGCAAACTGAGCCAGAAGCAGCAGATGATCCTGATGCTTCAGAGTGAGCTGTCATCTGCTGAACTGGAGCTTGAAGAATGCAAATCAGAGAATGAGAAGATGGTTGCTGAGTTCCGACTTGAGAAGACTGCCATGACAGAAAAACATGGATGTGATATGGAGAAAATGAGAAACCTTATCAAAGAGTTGGAGAGACTTCTTTCTGAGGAACGTGAGGAGCGAATGCAGGAAATCCAAACCTTGGAAGAGAATTTGCTGAATGGCTCTGTTGTGCGAGATAATCTGGAGACAGTTATTGCTGACAAACAGTCAGCCTTTTTAGCTCTGAATGATAAGTATCTTGCATTGGAAGCTGAATTTGAGAGATCTTGCATGGAACAGAAGCTCGTGACTGAGGCTCATAGGCTCGAAATGGATGACATGGAACGTAAATATGAGGAAGAATTAATTGAATTGAGGCAGAAAGAGAAAGAGGCAGAAAAGAGAATAAATTCCTTGACTGATGACTATCATGCCTTGCAAGGTAAGTTTGAGAAATCTTGCATGGAACAGAAACTTATGGCAGAGGCTCACAGGCGTGAATTTGATGACATACATCATAATTATGAAGAACAATTGAATGAACTGAGGGGAGAAAAGAGAGAGGCAGAAAAGAAAATAGAATCGCTGGCTGATACTTATCGTACCTTAGAGGATGAATTTGAGAAATTTTCTATGGAACAGAAGCTTGTGGCAGAGGCTCATAAGCGTGAACTGGATGACATGCAACATAAATATGAGGAGGAATTAAACGAATTGATTGGGAAAGAGAGAGAGGCAGAAAAGAAAACAGAATCTCTGATTGATAAGTATCATGATTTGGAAGCCAAGTTTGAGAAATCCTGCATGGAACAGAAACTCATGACAGAGGCTCATAGATTCGAAATTGACGACATAAATAATAAACATAACAGAGAACTGAATGAGTTGATGGTGGAAAAGAAAGAGGCAGAACTGAGAGTACAAGCCTTGACTGAGAGATACCATACACTAGAAACAGAGTTTGAGAAATTCTGTATGGAACACAAACATATGACAGAATCTTACAGGCTTAAGATGGATGAAATAAACAATAAACATGAAGAAGAACTATACAAAATGGGAGAAGAAATTAAAGATAAGGAGAGTGAAATTGAAAAGAGAATAAAAGAAATAACAGAAATTTCTATGAAGGAAGTAGAAGAACGGGTCAAAGAAGTGAAAGCTGCAGCAGAAGTGAATCTTAAGGAAGTGAAAAATACTGCAGAGAAGAGAATAAAAGAGTTTGAAGTGGAAGCCACAGGAAGGATAACTGACTGTGAGACAAGGGTGGAAGTGAAATTGAAAGAAGCGGAGCTTGAAATGCATCTATACATAGAGAAAGCAATGAAAGCGGAAGAGGATCTGCGACGGATGACACACCATCGTGATGAATTGAGAATCTCAAATATCGAGAACCAACTGACAATTGTTGACATGCAGGACAAAATTGATACTCTTGTTACAGAACTGAATAGTGCTAGAGAATCTTACGAAACAGATATTGCCCAAGCACGAAATGAATACAATATAATGAAGAAACAGTGCAAGAAATTAAAAATCGGAATAAGTAACTTCCGAGCCTCACTCGAAGCTCTCCAGATGAGGCTGTTGGAGAGTGAACAATATGCAGAGCAATTGACGAATACCACCCAACAATTTGATGCTCAGAAGAGAGCTCTTGAGGAACAAGTGAAAGTATTAACTCAGGAGCTAGAAGCCAGGAAACAGAGCATGAGTGAACTTGAAAGAGATACTGTTCAACAGATAGAAGAGACCCGTAGAGATCTCATCTGCAAGTTGGAAGAATTTAAAGTAAAGGCAGATAGAAACATTGCTGCAAAAGAGGAGGAGATTCTAGAACACAGGCATAAAAGTGAGGAACTCTCAGCAAGAATATTTGAGTTAACTGAAACATTGTCTGCTGTAGAAGAAACAAATTCTGAACATGAGCATGAAATAGAGGCACTTACTGAGAAGCTAGATCATCAGCGTGATTGTGCCAAGATTGCAACACAGCAGATAACAACTTTGGAAGCTTCTAATGCCATCTACCAGCATCAGGTCCAAACACTGACTGCTGAATTGGAATATCAAAAGGATTTCTCACAGAAAGCATCCAGTCATATTACAGCACTTGCTGCTGCAAAGGCAAACCTGGAGAAAGCAATCTGCGACCTTACTTCAGAAGTTGTGGCTGAAAGAGAGGTGTTGAAGCTTAATAGTGAGATTGAAGAACTTCCCACTCCCATGAAGTACAACATAGAGACACATTCTGATGTTCTGTCATCATTGAAAGAAAACCTATATCAGTACAAGGAAGAAATAAAATGTGCAATTCAGAAGCTGAAAAGTGATATAAAAACACAAGAATTTGATATCGAACAAAAAAATATTGATTTGTGTAGAAAGAAGTGTGAAATAAAAAGCGCTGCAGACAGGATTGCAGAGATGATGTCTGAGAATATGAAGAAAAATGAGAAGATTGTTGAGCACAATAAAAAAATCGAAGAATTATGCTCAGAAATAGGGGAACTAAAAACATCTTTGCAAGAGAACTCAGTTTCTGAACTGAAGTTGAAATTAGCAGAGAAGGAAGCACATTGTCAGAGGTAATTAAAGATCCTTTTTCTATGAATTTTGATGACATAATATGTTATGTATAATTTAGTGCTCTATTATCCAGATACCACATGCACCATAAAGTAAAGCTATCCCTGTAACAGGCCGTGGAGGCCCATAGGGTTGTGAGATGTTGAGGTTCCCAAATTTTCTAGACAATCGGTTCATAGATGGCGGCAAGGTTGTTAGCCTTACGCACCCACTGCCTTCACCCCCAAGAATATTCCAAGAACATTACTGGTACTCATTTCTGTTAGAGGCTGAGTCGACCCCAGGGCCATAGTGCGGCCAGAAGGATTAGGTCAATTGGAAATAATCCAATGACCTCATCGGGACTTGAACCCCGACCTTCTGGCTTATAGCATAGTGCCTCGACCAACTATGCTACCGCATGCCCCCACCACATGCACCATATTTTTAAGAAAATAAAAGTAGAACAAAATATGTGAATTGATGGAAGCATTCAAGTGTACATGTCAAACATAAATATATTAATACCTATTATCTTTAAATCAAAATATTGTCACATTTTTGAGTGACTATACATGGGGTTTGGATTGAGACTGGCTGGCAAAGCCAGCAGCATATGCAAAAGACAGACCTGTCCTCTTGTCAGAGAAGGCGCCCCACAAAACAAGACCGTAACTGTAAAACGGTAATAATTAATATCTGGTCATGAGCCCCAGATGGGGCTTGATACCAAGACTTACTTACAGAATGATTGACCATCAGTCGCAATGTGACTTTGACTTTGACTTGAGAAGGCAAAAGTATAAGAGGCTTAAACTTGGTGGTGGTCAAGCATACAACCTTTCAAGTGACTAGACTGCCGTTGTAGCGAAAGCTACTAGAAATAGGGCATAATCTGCTGTACTCAGCTGGACTGACAGAGGCCCTGTATATATTTTATTACATTTATTGACCTGTTTAACATGTAAAATGTAAATATCCTTTACATCATGACAAAAGACAGATCCGCCCTCTCGTCAGAGAAGGCGCCCCACAAAAACAAGACCAAAACTGTCAAACGGTAATTAATATCTGGTCATAAGCCCCAGACTTGGTTCGACACAAAGACTGACTGACTGACTGACCATCAGTCGCAATGTGACTTTGACTTTGACGAGAAAGCAGTTCAGGAGATTTGTAGTTAAAGAGTTAGTTGCAAGAATGTGGCTGCTAAGAAAAGACTGTGTGTAATATTTGGAGGGTGTAATTCAGTGAGGCTCTTGTAGTTCCTGTGTTTTAATTGCATTACCAGGAGACAACTAGTGTGTATGTAACAGTGAATTATGAAGTGTAGGAATACTGATAGCACTATAATTGTGTGTAATTACTGGTAGTGTGTAGAAAACGTAAATAACCCATTCATCCAATTCAGAACTCGTGTTATTAGTCACTAATGCACGGGACAGTATTATATATATTGATTCCTTGTAAAATGTTGCGACATTTAATTTGTCACACTGTTATTTTCTTGGGACATTGTACATTGTCCAAGGTATATTTGATGAAATTTGAGGGGATAGCTCTACTACTGTCTTCTGATGACTGAGTTTTATTATACTAACAGATCTTTTGTCCTGGATATCATTAGTAACCTTAAATCTGCAAAAAGAAATAAAGTACAGGGTGATTTTTAAAAATGAGAAACCAATGGTGTGCATAGACTTGAAAGGATTCTGATTTTATTTATTTTATTGAAAGGATTGCGATTTTATTCTTTCCTCCCACTGATGGAACTGGTTGTTGGTTGTTCATAGGTTGTTTCTACAGATCAAGGTTTGTCCAGTGATTGAGACTAGCTCTTTCTAAGGGGCCCAACTGAGTAGGTTAAACCTTCCCTATCCACCTGAAGACGGAGACAGATCCAGTCTCCGAAACGTCGTGGGGTTTTTTTTTTTTTGTTTTTTGTCTTTTATATATCGGACGATGGGTGAAGTCCAAAATAAGCCAAAAGAAGTACAATGGTGTGCATGTTAAGCAAATTGTGTATTAGAGTGTTGGGTCATTTTGGCAAAACTCAATATGCTCAGCATGGTGATTTTTTTTAAAGTGTTTTGTTTACAGTACCTCTTGTTGTAGGAAGTTTTGAAAGTCTGCACCAGCATGTTGCATACATAACGAAGCATGATGAAGCATGTTTGTAGACATTACAGTGTTGTGGGTGAAATGTTGGCAGTAATATTTAATATGTTACTTTTCTGTTCATCCAGATTGCATGGGGTTTTATAGGTATTTTCTTAATGTAACCTCCGCAGGAAAACTCTGGTGGTGGGTGACAAATCCAGTGAATGTGGGGGGCATAGTCCTTTCAAGATGATTCAATCTCCAAACACAGAGAGCTTGTGAACAGTCACCTGTGCTGTGTGATATGTTTCACTATCTTGTTGGAACCAAGCTTTGCTAATTTCCTCTTCAGAATGATGTCTGAAGGATTCATGGACTACGCCAATATAGCAGTCCAAATTAATTGTGTTCTCAAAGATAATGAGCTCAAAAATCCTATAGTGAGACACTGTAATCCTGATGGGGTGGAGTGGAGTTTTGTGAGCTGTATGGGGATTTTTCTTAAGCCATATATTAGTATTCTGAGAGTTCACATAACCTGCAAGTTGGACCCATGCCTCATCTGAGAAAATGGTCATACCTAATATGAAAAGGTCCTACACCTTTGCAAGCAACCACGCACTGTAATGAAATCATTTTTTGCAGTCTGGTGGAAACAGTATGCTGCTTTGCAGCAACTACTGTATGACATTCCAGTTTGCTGTGCAAGTTACCATAATGACTTGTGTGGACTTGCACTCAGTCTCTCAATAAACTCTGCTGAACGGCTCTCTTTAACAATCGACTGGTAACCACATTTTGGGATATTCACAATTCCTGTCTGCCGAAACACTTTCACACTTCCATATCACAGATTTGGCTGGCACTGGACATCCAAATAAATGAATGTAATCACTGTGGGTTGTTTTAAGCAATTCTGTTTTGAGGGAGTACAACACAAAGAATAGACTTCTCTGCACTGAATGCAGTATTGTTTACTGGGTTTCATCAAAATGGCCCTAGCCTGTAATACATGACATTATTAACTTTTCTAACACTGGGTTCTCATTTAAAACAAAAGTGACTCTGTATATCTCGTTATCGTGATAAACTGTGACCTGCAGGTGGAAGCAGAACCAGCTTCAGCAACTTTGTATATACATGGATGGCTCACACAGTGCAGTGGTTATTATACTTGCATACTGGGCTTTTGAAAGGTCCTGGGTTCAGTCTCAAGCATGCCACTGACCTTAGAATGAAAAGAAAAAGAATAACAACTCTGTCAGAACAATGACAACCCATCACCCAGAGATGGGAGTAGATTGAACTACAGAAATGTGGGTAGGGTAGAACGTAGAGACAGTATCTTCCTGTGGAATGTTGGTACCTACTTTCCTGACTACAACACAGTGTCATAAAGTGAGACGCTGCGATATAAACCCTATAAAGTTTGTTGTTTGTCACTGATGGTAGTTTCATGAACTAACTTATTGTCAATTGTATGGTAACGGTAAAGATGTGCCTGTGCTTAACGAATTAAGCATTACTCCATGAAGGCATACGGGCGAGTGGATGTATAGATCCATATTTTCTTGACCTATGCACTAGCTGGAGGTGAGTAGTCAGCTTCACACCCCAGCCGCTTTATCCCCCCCCTCCCCATCGTGAAAAGAGTCCCCAGTACCCATTTGATAGGCAGTCACGTGGACCCCAGAGCCAGTCTGGATGACTTCGAGAAGAGAAAATTCTTGACCCTACCAGGACTTGAACGCCAACTCCTCAGTTATCCAGCCCATAGCCAGTCACTACACTGACTACGTTACCCCGGCTCAGTAAAATTAAATGTTCCCTTCTGTGCATAATGTAGTAGAACTGTAAGTTCCTAGTGTGAAAGCATCACAACATAATGCATATTTGTGTGGAAAAGCTTTTAATTAGTAAGAAATATTCAATAAGCAGTTGGTTTTCCTTTCAGTTTACTGGATAAAGCAAAAGATTGGGAGGAACGCTGCAAGGAGATGGAGTTGCTCATTGGTCCATTCAGGGAGCAGCTAGAAGCATTTGATGCAGAGCGACAAGCATTAGAACTGCAAAAGGAAGCTGCGGAGGGTGAAATGAGGGAATTAGGCCTTCGTTATGCTGAAATCCTAGGACATCAGAACCACAAACAGAAAATCAAACATGTGACTAAACTCAAGGAGCAGATATATGAACTCAAAAAGGTTGGTTCATGCTGTGTTGCTAAAACTGAGTATCATTTATGGAATCTGCAGCGTTAGGTACCCATCACATGGGCAAGTGAAGAAGAATTGATTAATATACAGTATGTATGTTTTTAGGTATAGATGAATATGATACTTGGTTCTTAATGTGGTTATGTAATAAAATTGCTAGTGTTTAATCCTGTTGAATCCCTGCTCTATAATTAACCTGTTGGCTGCTTGCTTGATGTTTAATACTGCTGAGCAGTAATTCAGTGATGTTCAATAATCTGAATGTTATGAGACATCATTGCCTTTGTTACTTCCTACTCAGCATACCACAACAACAAAGATTTTGCATGCAGCACCCTGGAAACTTTTACCATCTTTAGTAACGTTTTTACATGGCTATTCCCAAGCCGGTGAAATCCCAGTTTCTATTTTGACACTACTAATCTAGCATGGCTCTCTTTCAGTAAGCTGCCAACAATTTGGTTAATGACTGTGCTAATTAATGATGTCTCACTTTTCCTGCAAACCTTCAGTACTTCCTCACCTCTCTTTCTCTTCACAATGTGTGGGGATAGGAATACAATTCTGGAAAGATGAGACAGGATGCTTAAAGTTACACTACATTTTAATTACATATTTACAGATTTGCCTATGCCCCACACTACTGTTCAAGTTTGTTTCACTGATCTGATCTTCACCTTTACTATTCCCTTCATTACTCTGGCTTTTCACACTCCCACTGGAATATGGTATTTTTAATTTTCATCCTCTTCTTCTAATCTAAACTGACCTTGTCTAGCAACATTCATTAAATTGACAAACAGCTCTTATCCATCTTCACCTGGAAACACTGGATATATATTAGTTTTCCAGCTCACACACTTGTCGATGCATAAGCTATGATCAAGCCCTTGGCTAGACTCAAGCGTTTCAGATTCATGGTTGCCGCTTGCTACAGCCGTTCTGCATCTCTGGTCAGCTCCCGTGATTGGATTCTTTTGGTGACCTGACTGAACGGAACTGAACTGTCTGTTGTAATCACTCCTGGTTTCAACCATGGGTTGGTTCCTCATGGTGATTCAGCTGCTCATTTTCCACATTACTGGCTAGCGTGGTCAGTGTTCTGTGTTTGCAGAATATGCTAAGGGCAGCTTAGGTCTTCCTAGTTCATCCAGCTCTTTCCCTTTTTGGGTGGTACAGTCTACTGCTGTGGGTTTACCTACCTGAAAAACTTAAAATCTGTAATCTGATATACACTTAACACAGCTTCAAGGGACTCCCTTCTTTATCTAACCTTCTAGTCTGTCACAACATATTACACCATATCTCTTATGTTATATTTTAGCGTCCTGTTGCACTGATTTAAGTCCATGATTTATTTAAACCGTCTTGCAGTGCATACATTCATCTATCTCCTTCTCTCACTTGCACTCTGGTGCGAGTGAGAGAAGGAGATAGATGAGTGTATGCACTGCAAGACGGTTTAAATAAATCATGGACCATATCTCTTATTGACTGATTTAGACATAGCATCCAACTGTGTTAAGTAGTGTAATCAGTGAAGTTTTTTAATGCTTGGGGGAAGAGATTTATTGTTCAAGGTGTGCCCTGTTTTTCTTCACTTTCCCCTTGCACCCCAAAGCAATGGTAAGATTGTGGCATGTGCAATGCAGAATGTACTTCTAAATAGCCCTCCCTTTTCTTTAAGGAAAATGAGAAGCTTGAGAGTCAGGTGCGATCCCAGAAGAGAGTAATTGACAAGTTGAAGGATGAACAGCGTTCTACAGCAGCTCGGAAACCTGTTCTTCAGGTGCTCAATCCACCCAGCACAAAGGGCAAGGAAAATGTTGATCACAGTCCTGTTCGGAAATCCCCCGTCAGCAGCCCAAATGTGAAGTCACTTCGGAGATATCGTTGAGGTTCCTCATTATGCATATGATTGTATCAGATTTTTCCTGTGTGTAGCTGATTAAATGAGCATTATAATTGTTCATTTATTACCATATTATAAATAGTGAAGGTTTAGACTGAACTGTGTGTTACCTTTAAGTAGACTTTAATTTATTTTTGTGTATGCATTAGTTAATATCTTGCCTTATTCATAATGCATGTATGCAGAGGTAGACCTGGGAATTTTTGTGTCCAGGCCATGTTGAAACATCGGTGTTTCTCTCCCCCAGTTTATTGGACCTAGAAACAATACTCAGAAAGCTACTTTCATTAAATTTGTGTTTGTGGTTTCGGATACAAAGTTGAGTTTAAAATTTTTTAGGTAACCAGTCTAACAGAATTAGTCCTTTCTTCCACACTTGATGCATTTCATACAAATATTTATCCCCCCCAGTCGCACGCGTACACAGACATTTTCTGACTGACAACATGGCCTTGTATCTTAGCCCTTGGTAGCCGACTTTGTTACCCCACACTAGTTCCTCTTCTGCATATACAGCTTTAATGTCATGTCTGATTAAAGTAACATGTTTATCTAAATTCCATGTTCGCTTTTTTCTAAATAATACTTTTGTACATGTCCTATAGGATGATTTGTACTTAGGAGTATCTGCTTTAAGAAAACAAGATGTTTTGTGACCAACAGGTCACCACTTTGGCACTTCTTAACAAGTGTCATTTTCATATTATAGCATGACTGCTGCTTTAGAATACACTGTGAATGATACTGTGTTCCATGAATTTTTGATAATTTGTATTTTATTACATGATATAAATTCAAGCTTTTGCTTTATATTGTTTTAATATTGTTTCAATATTTTGTATGTTCTGTATGGAAGTGAATGGTGTTTGGATAAATATGGTACATGTGCAAAGATGTCTTGGATCAAGAAAAGAAAGCCTATAGTAATTTATTTTAATACGTAATTTATATTTTTATGGATTGCTCAAACCGGAATTTCTGTGTAGCAGCACCGACAATTTGACCATGAGCACATTTATCTTTTAATTCTATAAAAAAGACCTGTAAATTTCAGTCTTACAGCTTGCAGATGGCACTGCAGAAGAGTTGAAAAAGTTGCCTATTTTTGGTACTAATTTTTTTAAACTGTTTTGATTGTTTGAAAAGCAAGGATCCCAAATGATATTCCAATATCTGTAGTTATTTCCAAAGCACATATTTTAGTTCGTGTATCGAGAACACAGTAATTTGGCATAAGAAATTATACTAAAACAAATTAATTGTAAAGAATTTTTATGGCCATGTAATACACTTAAGATCATTGGGTTTCTGTACTTTAGCCATCATCATTGGGTTTGAGGTAATTCCAATTGCTTGGCCTCCAGCGACTGAGATTAGATCTTTGTAACATGACCAATTGATAGGTGCCTTCCAACCTTTTCATCTGAGGATGGAGACAGATCCAGTTTCTAAAATGTGTTCTGTTAGCAGACAATGGACAGAGTTCAGAAATCAAATATTCCTGCATATAGCAGAAATACTTAAAAAATGTGATAAGTGTCTAAATGGTCTTAAAATGACATCTGTATGTGACTCATAGGTTGAAAGTGTCTGCTCAAGATTATATACATGCTGATATAAAATGTGGCTTCAGTACCTGTTAGCTCAGGTTAATATTTTGGGTCTAACCCTTATGGAAGAGAATGATTAATTTCACTGCAATACAGAAAGAGTACAAAGGTCATGTCTTGAAAGTAAGCAAATCTTTGTTGTATTTGTAGCTCTTATATGCATGGGGTTTCTTATAGCTAACAGTATATACAGTTTTTATTTGCAGGTCTTCATGATCTCATTCTAATTTTTGTACATCTGAAATGTGGCACACAAAGAACTACTGTACAGGTCTGGTTTCTGAAACTCAGTGGGATGAGGTATGGGGACTTAGAAAAACAATTGCTTATGTGACCGGTTACAAGAGCCAATCAGCTACACATTGGATGTCCTTCCACTTTCCACATTACCTTCACTGAATTCCATCTGTGGTTTTAGAGCTGGGACCCAAATTGTAGGTATCAGTACAAACTTGATTTTTATATTTATATTGAAAGCCTTTATATTTGGGGGTCCCCCTTCCCAAGACTATTGTAGGATGTTCTATATAATCTGATTACTTCAGATTGATAGGTTTAATTGTTAACCATTACATTGTGTCAGAGAAATTTAATTTGTTCCTTGGTAACAGCTATATATGATTTTCAATGTTTCTCTTTGAGTCAGGGCTATTGTGTACATAATGCAGGTACTGAAGGTGTTGTGTTCAAAGTTATGGTGTTACCCTGGCAAGACTTCATATGAAGTTAAATAGAAAGATCTATGTTGGGAAATTTGTACCCACAAAGGGATCTTGCTCGTACAATTACTGACACTTAATGTGAAACAGTAACAACTTAAATGGTATAGTTTTTTATGCTGTCATTCTAATGGCATCACTGTAAAGACAATTGCTCAATTTTATATCCTGATGGTGGTTTTAAGAATTATTCTCCTTTAACATAAATATTTTGTAGTATCTGTGCTGTATTGTTCATCTGTAGTTTCTATAGCCTATTAATAACATTACAGAAAAGTTTAAATACTTCTGTTTGAGCAATACAGTCTCAACATTACTGTTTAAACCCGCATAATGACTTTTAATTGCTGAAAGTGGTTAGGTCGTTTTATTGTAGCCCATATTTTTTATTATTCTGTTGCAATTTAATGTTTGTGTCACACTGAAGAAGCAATGCTTCCTTTCCCTCTTAGGACCAATGATGTTTGCTTCTGTATGATTGGCGTATTGGTGTCCGGTTCCTTGCTGAACACATGAAATGTACATGTTGGAGCAATGCAGGAACACTGGTTGGTGTAAATGAAGAACCCTGTTCAAGGAAGTGAATTCCAACATTGCCCAGGCAACTGTTACATTGTACCCAGTGTTTCTGTTCAATTTGTTGTCCATCATGATAATTATAGTGTACCTGTATGCAATATCATATCCTTCATCTGACAATAAAGTGCCTCAGTATGTGAGAGGAACGTAGAGTGTTACAGTTAAATACCCCCTTTGTAACTGTAACCATGCTTTTGGACTAGTCACTTTCAATCTTTGCCCGTCCTAGCTTCCGCCTTCATTTTCCTTGGGGTTTTGGGCATGACATTGGATAGTAGGAGTTTGGCAAGAAGGTAGCTCAATTTTTTGCTGGTGAGTAAGTGAGTGAGTGAGTGAGAACTCAGGTGTAACATGTTGTGGTTCAAGTGAAGCCTGGTAGAAGGAATAATACAGGTATCAAAAACATTTGTTTTTCTTGACATTGGAACTTCAATTTGATACCTTTGGACAATGTATTGTATTACACACAAAATTTGAATCATAGTTTACTCACTAATAGCAGGTTCACATTTACTGTTAAAATTCCTTGATAATCGGACTGATGTCTCACAGAATCTAGACAGTGGTTGTGATAAGGAAGGGTAAGTTAATCTTTGTGGACCTGCTGCTTGCAGGAGCTTGCAACATCATTTCCATTCCCAGTTTGGAGGTCAATGCTGCAGACCTCCCAGTACTTGTGCTGCCATTGGTCTGCCCTCTCTCACTCAATCATGGAGCTGAGCCCTTCTTGAGAAGCTGCCAATTGTGCAGCTACTCAAGGACTTCCCACCATTTTATGGAACCTGAAGGTCCATTACTGTGTTCACAAGAGCCCTCAACCGGTCCCTATCCTGAGCCAGATCAATCCAATCCATTTTAATCTTGTCCACCCACATATGCCTTGGTCTTCCCAGTGGTCTCTTTCCTTCTGGCTCTTCCACAAATATCCTATATGCATTCCTCTTCTCTTCCATTCATGCTACATGCCCTGTCACCTCATCCTCCTTGAATTGATCATTCTAATTACACTTGGAGAAGAGTACAAGTTATGAAGCTATTATGTTTTTGGACAGCAGATGAGAAGACAAAAGGTTCTGGACTGAATGGTAGGAAGCATTACCCGAGTTCAATCTCCTCTTAATTTCCTCCTAAATCAGGTTTTGATTTGTTATCATTGTTCCCAAATATCTGAACTGTGCCACATTTTCAAAACATCTGTTACCTGTCTTTATGTCACGATTTTGCCCTGCATTTTGGTGATGAGACCCCAACATATACTTAGTTGAGTCTGTGTGTTTCTCTTTAAGGTATCTATCTTACCACCCAGCTGATTCACATCATCAGCATAGCCAACAACTGATGTGTCCCATTTAATTACAGTCCCACCTGGTTTTCCTGGACCTTCCTAATGGCATATTCTAAAGCAAAGTTGAAAAGCAGTGGGACTAAAGCATCTTGTTTTAGACCATTCTGGATATGAAAATTATCAGACAAATGTTTACCTATACAGACTTTACCACACGTTTCGTTTAAACACATTTTAATCAGCTTAAATACTTTCATGGGTATCCCAAACCCTTATCAGAATACTGTACAATACTTCCCTCCTAACTGAATCACAGGCTTTCTTGAAGTCTATGAATAGCTGATGTAGTGTCTCATTGTATTCCAATTTTTTCTTCAGTATTTGATGAATGCAAAAGATCTGATCATTAGTTGATCTGTTATGTCGAAACCCATGCTGATGATCCACAATAATTTCAGAGAGATGAATATTGGACAAAATTTTGTATATGAAGTTGATAGCAATGATATCCCATGATATTTATTACAGGTAGTTTTATTGCCCTTCTTGTGAACTGGTACAATAAGAGACTCATTTCACTGATCAGGCAATTTTTCCTTATTCAAAATAGACTTAATTAGCATGTGAATCTTAGAACATACTGTATTTACGCATGTATAGGCCACAGCACAATTTTCAGACAGAAATTATAGAAAAAATAATTTTCTTGGAATTTTATTTCAGGAGTAGAACACCCTGTATTAGTAATTATGAATGTATTTTTTTTTAAATGAAGTGTGATTTCGAATATAAGCCGCACCCCAGTTTTCCTCTTGAATTTTTGGCAAAAAATGTGCGGCCTATACATGTGTAAATACGGTAATATTTCACCTCCTGCTTGAATAAGTTCTGCCGGAAATTGATCACTACCTGGCGATTTATACTATTTCAACTTTGCAATAGCAATTTAAACCTCAGAAAGACTAGGATCAGGTACTAACAGCTCAGCTGTATGTATTTCTATCTGCCTAACATCACTGACCCTATGTACATTCAATAACTGAGAGAAGTAGTTCCTCTGCCTATTCAAAATGTCGTGGGAATCTGCAAGCAGATCACCATTCTTATCCTTCACTAAGTTATTGCTAGGCTGGTAACCCCTCTTGAAGTCTTTTATTCCTCCATAAAGGTCTATAATGTACTTGTTCTTACTGTTCATTGCAGTCTCATCAATTTTGTCTTTCAGATATTCCCTCTTTTTGTTCCTGAAATGCCTGCTGGTTTCACGTCTTATATTGTTCAGATTATCCCCGTTTATTTCACTTGGATCCTGTAACCAGTGAAATTTGGCTTGTTTTTTGGTCTAATAATTTTGAGTATCCTTCATCAAACCATGGCTTATGCTTCTTCAGTTCATAATAAGCTAGACTCTCTTTGGCAGAAATTTTGATATTCTCTCTAATAGTTTCCCAAGCTTTAACATCCACCTCAGTATCTAAGTTTTCCATAGCTGCGAACATATTTGAGATTTAAACACGATACTGCTCCTTACACTCTACCTCGTTTAACTTCTTGAGATTGAACCTCTTCATATGAACACTGTGCGTTTCTTTCCCTAACCTTTGCCACCACCAGGTAGTGGTCAGTATCATAATCTGCTGTCCTGAATGATGGGACATCCAGTATACTTGAATGCTGTCTTCTATCTATCAAAATAAATCAACAGATGTTACGTGTTATATGGCAGCTGACCATAATCCCAAGTCCCTGCTGATACATTAAATAGTGAATCATGTTACTTCATCTGTTGAAATGTGTGAAGTACACACTACAGCAGTGTATATCCATGTACAAGGGTTGTGTAGGAAAAGTAAGAAGATGATTCCAGCATAAGTTCCAGAATCCTACAATTCCATGTAGAAAACTATTTGTACAGCCATAGATAAGTCAAAACTGAGTCGTAATTGGACAAAAAAGAGCCAAATCAAAACTTAAAAGTGTGCTCACTAAGAAAGACGGTGGATGAATGGGATTGCTTTCATGTCGTTACAGGCTGGCTATGATATGGCAGTATGTTATATGCAGTGACAAGATCACGAGTTTTTCCTTCTTTTATGACAGAACTGCAAACTGTTAATTTTTATTTCTTATAAAAAATTTAACACCTCTCTCCCCACCACCCCAAATATTAAAAAAAATTGTAGAGGTGTATTGAATAACCTGACAGTACAAAATCTTCAATACACATGTTCTTGTAACCAACTCATCTCTGTCTCAGAAAATGCGTAATGTTGATTACATGGAGCCACAGAAGTACCTAGTTTTGTAGATCCTCCTGTTACTTGTCTCTTTCCTAGTTCCATATATTTTCCTTGGCACTTTAAATGCCTTTGAACAAGAGAATATTTGAACCTTAGGTTTTTAGAAAGGCAATATTAAAGGTATGGTAACTTTATGGTAAGTAAAGTAAAGTGAAGGCCCATAGGGTTGTGAGACGTTGAGGGTCTCACATTATCTAGACAATCAGCTGAAAGATGGCGGTAAGGTTGTCAGCCTTACTCGTCGGCCACGCTTTACACACCAGGAAAATTATTTAATTAATTCCTGGTACTCATTTCTGTTAGAGGCTGAGTGAACCCCAGGGCCATAGTGCAGCTGGAAGGAGTAGGTCAATTGAAAAAAATCAAGTGACCTCATTGGAACTTGAACCCGCGACCTTCTGGCTTGTAGCATAGTGCCTTAACTACTATGCTACCGCATATGGTAACTTTATGGTAACAAAACATTTCCTAAATTTGATGTACTCTCAGTGTTCGGATCATTTTGGTTTGTTTCCGTTCTTCTGAAGTACTTGAACTTTGGCACATTTTCAAAGAATTGTTAGGAAGGTTTTTTGATTCTATGCTGCATTCCGGTATGTTTTCATATTTTTATAATGCGTAATTTGTTTAAAAACTGAATAGTAATAATGACAGTATGTAAGGCATGAAATACGACAAAACTTATTATCAACATTGGCATGTAATTTATGAAATTTCTTGTGCAATGACATGTTTTGATAATGACTCGAGAATCTGTTAATGAGATGAATTGAGTTTCTTTACTCAAGTTTGATTTCTAGTTCTAAAAGTCTGTGACGATGGTACAGTAATACATTTATTGTGTTTCTGAACATTATCTGTTCTCCTGTTATTATTTAAAGCATTTCAGAGACTGGATTCTTTCTCCATCTTCAGGGGGAACCCATTCAGTTGGCCCCAATCGATAGAGCTAGTCCCTATCACCGGAGACATCTCTGAAACGTTGTGTGTTTTAAATAAAAACAGGACAATGGATAATGTCCAGAAACAGAATAACTGGATTGATTTCTAGGGTTTATATTCTCTGTTTCCTTGTCTATTTTCTTAACTTGAATTCACTCCTCACTCTAGAGGACATGGATATGTAACTAGCTGTGCGATATAAATATCTACAAATCTCTTATGAAATCCATTTGGTGTAGAAAACAGTGCTTACAAGTTCTGTCTGTAATGACAATTTCACTGTAGTGAGTTACTTTTTTATTGCTAGTGGGGTGGAACCGAGTCCCTTGTACTGCGGCCACTTCTGGCCTATTGTACTAGCCCCAGATGATATGTGAGGGTGATTGTGGAGCAATTGGTGGAATGAAGATTGGCAAGGGAAACCGAAGTACTCGGAGAAAACCTGCCCCAGAGCCACTTTGTCCACCACAAATCCCACTTGACCAGACCCGCGATCGAACCCGGGCCGCCGCGGTGGGAAGCCAGCGACTAACCACTCGAGCTATGGCGCGGACCTTAGTGAGTTACTTAGTTTACTGACAGTGTTTGGAGCTTACCTCCTGATAATGACGACTGCTTGCAGTGAGTGGACTGCATTATTGAACACTTACTTCGTTCAACTACAACTATGAACTTTCTCAGACTGTACTTCCTCGAATGTTTCATCACTAATGGCTGTTAGACGGAAGTCGGTGAGAGAGAGAGAGAGAGAGGTAGAAAGTGAACAGACTCGAACCTTAGGCTAGGTATCGAATGCGCACAGCTGTTCGTGCGCGGCAAACTCGTTCGTTTGTTTACAATGTTCGTGTTCAGCGGCTGTTGACCGACGTTGCGAAAGAAACGCCGGAACACCACAAGACCACATCAACTGAATGAGCACAGCACACTGTAATCCCTTTGCCGCGGTACAAAGAACCGCTCCGATTTGGCTCGAAACTCGCCAAGTTCGCGCGCGGCAACATGCAACGAACATTGCCTCGCGCAATCGATACCCGGCTTTTGATATTTGAACAAACCTGCCAACCTAACAGTCAGTGTAATAATAAACCAAAGGAAATTTTGCCTTTCTTTCTAGGAATGTGTAACAAGATGGGGAGGTATTCATTCTCAGAAAATCACAAGTCTGATGTAAGTGGATATTTCATTTATTCAGATGGTCAGTGGCTGATTGTTTCTGTTTCTAGAATGGAGGAACAAACAATTCAAATTCCACATGCGATTCTTGTTACATTTACACACGAGTTTATCCATAATTATTTTATTACAATTGAGTGATCACAGAAATGCAGGCAGAAGATAAGATCATTTTTATTGTGGTCACACACAGCAATAGTGCAACCACCGGTTCAGACATAATCTCATAATAAGAGATGGATGTCCATCACACGTTTCTAGTGGAAAACACAGAAAACTGTATTTTCTGCACTGCCGTGGCTACCGGGAGTTGGGGTCCCTTCCTTGGGCGCCTCGGCATGGACTCAGATCTCGAGTCTGTCCATGAGTCTGAAAGATAAATACATAACAGTAATATATCTGAAAGCATACCTGAAACATGCCCTTATTGGAAAAAATTTCTGATCCTAGTGGCTGAAAACTAATGTAAATTTAACTTCTGTTAAATAGAAACTAGGGGTAGATTCTAAAGAGTTCTGACGATGGTGGATGACACACAGAATTACTGGGGGTTTGGACTTTTTCCATCGTCCGGAATTTTAGGTAATAGAGGACACGTCTATGATCCTCGTCATACTGCCTAGGCACGGACCGCAAATAGAACAACGCGTCCGAGATTATTTATTTTTGTTATCACATTCATTACGTTGTGTTTGTTCTTCAGTGGCCTGTTGTGCAGAAGTAGACAATGGAGGTAGCTTGTAATTGGAGTCATGCGCTGATCTCTTACCTGATGGGCAGGGAATCGTCCATACAGTGATACTAGAGACACGAAGAGCACCAACCCAATTACTGAAGGGATGAAGGCCGTCCACTTGACAGACAGGGGGTAGTTCATGAAGCGGGAATTCATCTGCATGTCCTCTGCAACAGTAATTACATGATTTATATGTGTGGACTTGCTAGACAGGGCGGTATCTTGTAAACACCCTTTCAGTAAATCTCACACTTAAGTAAATCATTTCGGGTACAAATTAATAAATCTAATTTATAACCCACTTCTGCAAGACCGCCTCTGTGGTCTAGTGGTCAGTGTTCCTGCCTACAGATCCAGAGGTCTGAGAAGTATTGTGTCTGGAACGGGGTTCACTCAGCCTTGTTAGGATAACTGAGGAGCTATTTCAAGGAAATTGCGGCTCCGGTCTATAAAACCGAGACTAACGGCCGTGAGGATTCGTTGCGCTGACCACGTGACACACTTTATCCGCAAAAGTTGGCACTAACTTCGCCGACAAGCGGCTGTCGGTCGGTATAGTTCGCTTGCGGACTACATGCCACGGAGTTTGTTTTGTAACCAACTTCTCTGTAAAGATTTAGATTATGATATCCAGGCACATAAATGGACGAGTTTTCATGCAATTTTGTTTGAACACCATGCTTCTGCCCACATCTTTTTACGTAGGTAAATCAATAAGTAAGTTACTGCGCAAATGGATATAGAACTTAAACAAATGAGAGTACTGATTTGAAAAATGCTTTTATTTCTCAGCATAATCTCCCTGTACATTGAGGCACTTGTCCCATCGTTTCACAAGCCCCTGAAAACGAGCAGCATAAAATTCTTTGGGCTGCTGTTGGAACCAGGCGGTGACTTCCCTTTACAGGGAACATTTACATCCTGAGGATCTTACAGAACTGCCAGCAAGACAAATGAGACGCTGCGAACTTTCAAGTGGGAAGTCCTCTAGCATCCTCCGCATAGCCCCGACCTTGCTCCAAGCGACTTCCATTTGTTCGGCCCTCTTAAGCATCATCTTTCGGCTGAACCTTTTCCCGACGATGAAGCTGTAGAAAGGGAAGTCACCGTCTGGTTCCGACAAAAGCCCAAAGAATTTTATGCTGCTGGTTTTCGGGGGCTTGTGAAACGATGGGACAAGTGCCTCAATGTACAGGGAGGTTATGTTGAGAAATAAAAACATTTTTCAAATCAGTACTCTCATTTGTTTAAGTTCTATATCCGTTTGTAACTTACTTATTGACTTACCCTCGTAGTTTGTAGCTTCTATAATACTAACATGGCGGTCTTGAGAACTTCAAAGTGGTAGGTAATACGCCATAAAATATAAAATCTTTGTTGAGAAACCAAAGCTGCAAAACAGAGCCAAGGGAAATACGTGCAGACTCAGTGTTGCATGATAATACGTAATAAACCACGGAACATTTTGTATACATAGAATTGAAAAGGCACCAAAAATTTGGAACGTTTCTTTTTTGTTAAGAATTGAAGACGTGTCTAAATCCGAAAACCTGAAATTATATCAGATAAATTTAACGCCGCCAGCATCTGCTACATCCCTACTTGTGTCGTGCTGTTCGTCGTGTTAATTAATGAATATGATAGCCACAAAACATGGATTTTTGTGATGAGTGAAAAATAACGAAATGATTTCGCGTCACGAGCTCACCCACCTTCGTAGTGGGGCAGACCCGTGTCTGGGTTGATGTGTGTCCGACTCTCCCAGGTCCAGTACGATGTGTTGCGAGTAACGAGAAGGTCTCGGTCGTTCACAGTTCGAATCTTGTCATCTGGACCTGCCAGCATAACAGACAACATAGATATAAGTATTCCAAGATTATCTGTCTTCCGTTCGACTGTTTTTATATTTTGGGAAAGCCATAAGGAAAGAGACCACTGGGCAGACTAAGGCGTAGGTGGGCGGACAATATTAAAATGGATCGTACTGTTGCATGACCCGATCGCTTCATAGCAACGGTTGTACGCGTCACGTATCGTGACACCTTCTTTATTGTTGCGTGCGGGCAGTACCTAGCAACGACTGTTTCTCTGCCTCCACAGTTCTTGCTTTGAGCATATAAGCCATAATAGAGTTGCGCGCCTCTTAGAAAAAGAAGAAGTAACCTCACTATTGGAAACCAACACAAATCTGACCCATTCTAAATCCGTGTGTGTGTGTATGGCGGTGGCGGGCCAGAGATAAAAATTGTCGTTAAAATCTGTGGAACAAGTCTGCAGCGTCTGCATTCACAGTTATCTCTGCAGACTCCGAAAACTGCCGTAGAGCTGTGAGGGTATGGCCCCTAACGCGACTCATCTGCTCCCTGGCGGCTTCATTGTATCAGCAAGGACGCGGAAGTATAGAAACTCAGTTGGGCACAGGGACTAGTTCTATCGATTGGGTCCAACTGATTAGGTTTTACTTGAAGGCGGAAACAGAATGCAGTCTCTGAAACGTTGTGTTTAAAAAAAAAATAAACAGGACGGTTTTCAGATAGAGACAAGGCGATGGATAATGTCCAAAAACATAATATTTAAACTTTCGGTGTTCCTGTCCCTTATCTTTGAAGTGGGTGGCTCACATTGCACTATTGCATTGCCATCACCGAAACATAAACAATTTTTGTGTGTGCAGCGACACAACAAGGCTGCTCGATAACTGCTTTTGAACAGGGTCAAGAAGAATTAATATGCGACTGATGTACGTATATTAATGAAGAGCAAAGCAGGACACGCACATGCGCATTCTGCTGCAACGCATTGGGGCTTCAACTTGAATGTTACGGCTTTAATGCGTCCACGGCAGGACGAACATTCGGATAAACAGGTTTCACATTCGTGATCCAACAAATGTTCACAGCTATTGGTCGAAATACATGGTCTTTCAGGCGCCTTTTATATTCACACGCCACTGTTTGTCAAAGAATAAGAAACGAAAACTTTGGTGGCGAAAGCGGTTGTGTAGAACTGTGTATTATGGTGCGAGTTTGTTAGCTGACTTGTAAGTTTAAAGAAATTAGTGGACAATACAAAATCTTTACTCGCATGGCACCGGCAGATTTGGAATTAGTGATTCATTAAGTCTGTCGGAAAAAAACCTCGAAAAAGGATGCCATATACAGTCCAGGTAACTGGAAGAGAAACTGGCAGTTTCACTGCTGGTTTTGACTACGGGCCATTCGTTCACCAACCTGCAATACCTTTTCAAAATTTCGAAATAAGCAATCGACTCACACAGCCTTCGCTAATTTTTCCCAAACGTCGGGTTTAGTGTGTTTATTGTAATGTGTGGGTTGCATTGGCACAGGCGAAGCTATGTAAAGTTCTGTTAATGTTAACATGCTTTTGTAATTCCACTCCACTGAAAATTACAATATAAAAAAAAGAGGGGGGATATGAAAAATAGAGCGAAGAAATAACCTGGGCCCAATGAGGAACGCGCGCGGAAACACGCATATATCCGCTCTAGTCATGTAATGTAACATCATTTGATGTTCCCTGGAGAACCGACAGTATTGTGATCGATCGTGCCGCGAACCGAACAAACGCGAATGATACAGCAACACCGTACAGACTTGTTACATTACGGCAGAATACACAAGCGTATATCTGGCTGAAAAGTGATTGTCGTTAAGCTTACAACTCATTAAGTTTTTCCGTTATTGAACTGTAGTTGTTCCATTACGTAACGTAAAGTAAATCGTGGACAGTCCTAGAAATAAGACTTATATCCCTGACTGATTTTGTTACTGATTTGTTAAATAAATTATTGAAACTTGAAAAACGGGGTACCGGGATAACGATAGGCTTAACTGATTAGAAAGGAGCCGAACCCCGAAATAGTTGCAAATCAGCGGGCTACGTACGAGAGAGAGCGTCAGTTAAGTTTAGCGTTAATACAATTCAACAGAAGTTTCTACTCTCTGCTACACGTATATCAGATGCCACTCTTCTGTTATTTCAAACCGAGCTAGCACTGTTGAGAAATTGGCTACTACGATGCGCCTTTCGTCAGTTAGACATTTGAAGGCGTTGCTATGGTACATAGAGTAGGTTTACTTAACTTTAACAGTTTTTTTATTGCTAGTGGGGTGGGACTAAGTCCCTTGTACTGCGGCCGCTTCTGGCCTATTGTACCAGTCCCAGATGATAGGTGAGGGTGATTGTGGAGCAATTGGTGGAATGAAGATTGGCAGGGGAAACCGAAGTACCTGCCCCAGTGCCACTTTGTCCACCACAAATTCCACTTGCCCAGACCCGGGATCGAACCCGGGGGGCCCCGGTGGGAAGCCAGCGACTAACCGCTTGAGCTATGGCGCGGCCGACTTTAACAGTTAGTTATTTGAGGAAACCCTTTTGTAAATTTTTTAATGTATAAATAACCACCTTCATGGTACGCATTCTGCTGTGTGTTTATGATAGCGTGAAACACAAAAATGGCATCCATAGAATGAAGACAAAATATAGATACTAACGTAACATTTGTTTATTATGCACAGGCGTTACGCTACATGTTTCGACCTTTCCTAGTTCATCATGAAGCGAGTCACAAGAATATTCAAACTGTGTTCGTGAATTGAGTTACTCCTAAAGAAACTGAATTCTACACGGCTCGTGTAGAGGGCTGAAAAGATTTCTCTGACTTCAGCGGACAAGAGTATAGGGAAATACTTGGTTACGCAAGTGTAAGATGGTTGCCACTACTACCAGCCTTGCAAAGGATACAGAAAATATACCCATGACTGAAGTCTCTGTGTATGTGTGTATCTGAAACACAGTGCGCAGAAGAATTGAAACAACCGAATGAAAACAGACTGCCGTTGCTAAGCTTCACCTTTCGCAAGCTTCACTCTTTCATGAAACAAAGTTATTGAAGGTGATAACAAGCGAGCAACAGAATCAGCACTAGCCGTGAAAACTCTGTTGTTAAAGCTACGTTGTAAAAACATGACATTGTGAATTATCAATGCACAACGATGAAATAATGTGTTCTGCTCATACTAGTACCTGTGTACTGACCGAAGTCCTTTGGGTTGTAGAATATTTGATTCTTCCACATATTGAGGTCCAGCAACATGACGAGTACTATAATTCCATAGTTGAACCATTTGCCTGCGCAAAACAGAGGTAACATAGTCACGTATTTCTACATTTCTTTGTTTGTTCTTTGACTGAACGTCATGCAGTCAACACTGCGTTCAACTGTTTCCTGTTATCGCACGTATGCATTTGTATGCATGTTTTGCATACTATCTTTCTGTGAGAAAGGCAACCAGATAGCAGGCCTATGACTCTTTTCATTCTTAGGCACCTACAATCATGAAGGTGGAGGTAATTTGTTCCTGCGAAACGTGGGACCCACTTACCAGACTAGAGAACAGTGTCATAACATAAACGACCGTAATATAAATCTTCATTTCCGTGGAAACCTTGGAAACTTAAATTCTGCAAGCAAATTACTTTCATTATCTTTTACCGAGTTAGATCTTAGGGTAAAAAGGTAAAGCTATCCCTGTAACAGGCCGTGGAGGCCCATAGGTTTATGAGAGTTTGAGGCTCCCACATCTTCTAGACAATCGGCTCACAGATGGCTGCAAGGTTGTCAGCCTTACGCGCCGGCCTCCCTTTACCACCCCAGGAAGATTCCTGGTACTCGTTTCTGTTAGAGGCTGAGTCGACCCGAGGGCCATAATGCGGCTGGAATGATTACGACAATTGAAACAAATCCACCTATCGGGACTCGAACCCGCGACCTTCCGGCTTGCAGCATAGTGCCTCAACCAACTACGCTACCTCGTACCAGATCTTGGGGCAAGCCTTCTTAAATTCATTTATGCGACTGTACAAGATTTAATAATTTTTCTTTTTTACTGTTTATTTAAGTGGTTTATGGTGTTTATTTTATGTTTCCGGGAAACCGTTTCGTTATTACAGGTTATTTTAGGCTTTCAGCCTACTTCTATATTCTCCTCACTAGAAAAATATTCAAACGGATAGCTACCCGTTTGATCGAGGTTCCGTTTAAGATATATTTATTTATACTCATCCGCTGGAAACTCACCCGTGATATCAACTTCGGCGTACTTCCACTTAAGCGTCGCGACGCTGAATCCGGGCAAGTTGACGTGAAGAGTCGTTGTAAAATGGGGGAAATCCCAGTCCTGCATCACGATCAGCAGGTCCATGACCAGGATGAATGACGCCAAGAACGCCCGGGACAGCTCTGCATGAATGGCCACTTTCCGTTAAACACTTCCATCTTTATTGAGAGGCTGTGAATGCTTGTAAATGACTTAGCCATGTCAGCTAGCACGAGTTTCCTCTGCGTGAAATACAGAAGTTTAGATGATGCCTTAAGAATTTTGACCCCCGCTATGCGCGTTAAATTTAATGTACACTTACAAATATTTCATACAGTTTATTTTGTTTACGTTTCATGATCTATCTCCGTATCAGGTTCAAAATTCGAAACTCTAATAATACATGGATTATTGGCATTACACAGGAAGACGAGGAGTTCCGGACAAAACTTATGAAGCCCGATTTCCCATCGCAGACTTCTGGGCTTACGTGTGCCGTCAACGACTTATTTAGACAATATGGGCTAAGTAAGATTTGAGGTTCTCATGACGGTGAATATGAAAAATGCCGTCTTATGGGATGTGGCGCCGTGTAGATCTTGTGTGAACCGACGTTTCAGAGGAACGTGGATTTTCTAGAGCCAACTGCTCACGCTGGTTCCTCGCTCGCGGATTATTCTATCCTGAATATGTAGGCGATAGGTTTTCCCGAAACATCGGTTCACACAAGATCTACACGGCGCCACATCCCAGAAGACTGCATTCTTCAATGTAGGCTAAATTTATAACCCGACAATGGCATTCGTCCCGAGGGCCTGTGGTAGTGCAGCCCGGATTCGAACCCCAGGTTCGCAGACACTGGAGAGAAATGGGAGTAAGATGGGATAGTATTGTATGTCATCTGTTTACGGTCTCGAAGAAAGCCTATAATTGGAGGGAAATACTGTACTACAATATTAGCATTCAGTTTAATATATTCACGAAACTATTTGGACGAAATATAACACGTGTAAATTAAATCAAAATATTTTCAGTGGAGGTAAATATTCATCTGATACATTTTCTATTAAGAGTGGCCTGCAACAAGGAGATGTTTTAACGCCGTCGCTTTTCAACCCTGCTTTATAAGGTACCATTAAGAATGGTCCAGAGAACCACGTAGGAATGAAATTGAATTGGACACATCAGCATCTGGTTTGTGCCGATGTTAATGTGTGGCCCCTGACTGCTGTTGCCGCAGGATTCTTATGCTAACCGCTAGACTTCCGTACCTATGTCCCAGAGTCCCTACCTGTTGTTGCCACAAAGTCCCTGTTCAGCCTGTCCCAAGAGATCCAGTCGCTGACGATAAGTGTGACAACAACAGAGGTGGCCACGACGGAGCCGACCCAGAAAATGAGGATGCGCGGGATATTTGATCGCCGCCAGATCTTGCGGAAACAGGATGCCCACTGGGGGTACAAGTTGTCCTGTAGCATCATGTCTGTCACCATGAGCGCCGTGATGAGGTCCCCCAGCCACGTTCCGCACGCTGCAGCCTTCATTACGCTGAAAACAAGAGAGTGGCAGACACATCAAATGCTGGCTGACCTCTCTCGACTCTTCACGTAAACTGTTGCTCACGATAAAACACAGACTTACTATTAATGTTATATGGCTAATTTAAAAAAAGTTAGTCCTGGGTTATTGAACGACGCTCTATTAACTGAAAATGCTATATAGGCCTAGTTTCGAATTCAAAATGACAGGAGCTAGTCCTGTCTCCGGAGATGCATGCCGATTCATCGGCAAAATTCATATGCGCCTCGCGCACGGCGGTGAACAGATCGCCGTGGAATCGGTCAACAAAGTAAGAATCCTCCCTGTACATGTGAAGCAGCCCCGGTAATGAAGGTGGAGTTGATGGCTGGCAGGGTACCGTATATTTTATAGCGGAGAGGGCGTCTTCTCGAAGACTGCGTTGAGGAAGAATGGCACAATTGAATGTGTCTTACGTAGAAACGGTGTCAAGGGGATTAACTTAAGCTAACTCTGAACAAAGTTCGTTTGTGGACCCTTCTTTCTGTGGCGGTGAATCTTCCAATTTGTAAACCAGAGACACACACACACACTTCATTTTTACTTCCTCGTGTACGTATTATACTCGTATAGTGTGGAAAGATCTGTCTAGATGGTTTGGCGTATTTACACTTTTTCAGCCCCTCTGAATATGAAGATATGGATTTTGGTAGGCAGTTTGTGTGAAGGCCTGTGCGTGCATGCCTGTCTGGATAGCCGTTTCATATTCGATAGACCTACCAGTTCCTGAATTAGGGGCCCTTGAAATGAGCATCAGAACAGAATGGCGGGTTTCTTGAGAACGTCTCTAGCAATTTTGATTGAATTTTAGTGGTGAAAGGGAACATATCTTCAAATAAAACTACAAGGATGGTACATTCTGTTACACGCACAAACTCCAAACGTCGGTTTTCTCGAAACCGGCTTTAATGGCAGACGAATTCCATTGTTGTAGAGTACTGAGCAACCAACAGTGGAATACCCTGCGCAACAATCAATTTGTTTCCACGGGAACTGTAGTGACGGCCAGCCGTTTATGAGACATTGTGTGCAAAGTTTCTGAATCCGTGTTTTGACATAGACGTGACTATCGTATTTCCGAAAAGTCTAAGACACATTGCGACTGACGGTCGGTCAGTCAGTCAGTAAGTCTTGGTGTCGAGACCCGTCTGGAGCTCATGGCCAGATATTTATTACTGTTTGACAGTTACGGTCTTCTTTTTGTCGAGCTCCGTCTCTGGCGACAGGACAGGTCTATCTTGCGTATAAGCTGCTGACACTTGCCAGCGCAGTCCTTCTTGGGTCCGAGTCCCTTGGGACTCGCGACCATATGTTACTGTCTCAGATTTGAGACTTCCCTTTTCGCCGCCTCCTATGACTTCACAACTACACACTCATTTTAACACAGAGAACATTTTGTAGGTCTCCAAATTTGTACCTGGCGTTAGTGGCGCCCATGTGACTGTTGATCTGGTACAGGGGGTTGTCGTACCAGAGGAAAAGCAGCAGGTTGTAGGCGTGAGAGAATACGTACAGCGACACGATCACAGTGAGGAACATGGTCATCCAGGAGCCCTGCAAGCACGGTCAAGACAAGAGGTTAAGGATCATGTGTTGTGCACGTATAAGCGTGTAGCCTAATGGTTAGGGGGTGTCCCTCCAAAGTCCTTCTGACTTATTCCAGCCATCATCTTCAAGCGGATAGTTTCAGTTTACAGAAACACAAATATGAAGATTGTTACAACAATGGAGCCATTACATCTGTTTTGTACACAGCACTATACAGGCGAATGGTCACCTCCATGCTTTGACTGCTTCTTCCCCAGAGAAAAGACCGTGGCTGCCTATCTGATAGGAGGCTGGGTGATTCCCAGAGCTGCATAGACTTGACGTTGAGGAGAGATACTCCTGACCCTGGTGGTAATTGAACCCTGATCTTCCAGCCATATTGGCTATAGTTGCTGAATTTCAAGTTTTATGTGTAGATTAATGGTTTCTGCAAATAGTTAACATAAACGGTATGAAAATATTTGTAGGCAGACTGGCGGGTCCTGTCCCTTAGATATGATTTCCTAGTATTCCCAAAGTTAAATAATTCTGACGAAGATGGCACTTATAATAGAAGCTGGATGCAGCAGGACGCAAGAATGTCTATATTGCAGGATGTGTAAGGAATCAGGCTGTGCAAGTTCCAGCCTTAGCAAAAGTTACCAGGTGCTGGAATAGTCATGAATGACTTCAAATGACGCTAAGTTTTCATAAACAGAGTAATGTTTGTGATTTGGTGATGTGAATGATATCGATACCTGATCATCACGAAACATCTTCAGCCTGAGAAGCTTGCCACAGACGTAGCCGTGAATGAGAAGTTTGCCCAACACCATGCCGCACAACATCGCCAGCAGCCACATCAGCACCTGGAACAGACCGCAGTCCCTAGACATATGAAACACACTGAAGCGTAGTCATACAGCTTGGGATTAACAACCCCTTACTATATATTTAAAAAAAATCCGGGAACGTTACACAGTGACTCGGATAAGGAGAAAACTCTATCCTGATGATAATCATAATTCGTATTCTTTCTTTTAGAGTACAGCTCCAACCCTTGCATCTCTGTAGCTATACAACCACTGCACATGTCATGGGGTCATGCAAGTATCTGATTAAAAAAAACGGATTTCCATCGGCATGGTCACTGTCATCTGTTGCGGATAAAATTCCTGTATTTAAATAAAAAGAACAAGTCACGCGAATATAATAATTTCACTTTATGTGAGAGGATTGCCAAGAATATCGCCAACGGTAACCATGCAGTCGGAAATCAAACTACGGATTTCAGGTTAAGTAAAGTTATCCCTGTAACAGGCCGTGGAGGCCCATATGGTTATGAGAGGTCGAGGATCCCACATTTTGTAGACAATCGGCTCATAGATGGTGGCAATGTTGTCAGCCTTACGCGCCGGCCGCCCTTTACCCCCCAGGAAGGATATAAGTAAAAGACTAATGACCCAATAAAAATATATAATATTTCAAATGGTACAGTGGGACTACGGCCCCTTCTTCTGTTGTGTTTTAAGTATCGCTACATAATTTGGGATACCGATGAGGTCATTGGATTTTTTCAATTGACCTTATTCTTTCGGCCGTACTATGGCCTTGGGGTTCACTCAGCCTCTAACAGAAATGAGTACCAGTAATTAAATAAATAATTTTCGTGGGGAGTAAAGCGCGGCCGGAGCGTAAGGCTGACAACCTTACCGCCATCTTTGAGCCGATTGTCTAGATAATGTGGGGCCCTCAACGTCTCACAACCCTATGGGCCTTCACAGCCTGGTACAGGCATAGCTTTACTTTTTTTTACTTTTACTACATAATTTGGGAGAGACCGAATCGTGGGAGTATAGCTGTTACATCCGGTGTGGAAGAAAAACACTATATAACTCAGGAAACAGAATTACATCGGTGTAACCATTACGTTTACTGTGGAGGAAATGCTTCTATCTAACTAACGAAGACTATAATTATGGTATAACTAACAAACGAATCACTGGATGAATTGACGATCTATCAAGAAATCAAGCAATTAGTCGTTAGTATCAAGAAAAACAAACGTGAAATACAATCATGATCCAAGGTCCATCGTTTTCAGATTTGTAATTTGTAACGTTTTACCCTTTTCAGTCCTTCAGAGGCACAGGAAACTAAACGGGTGAAAGAAATTGTGTACCTTTATAAGAGACCAGCGCCATTCAGGAGGATATTTTGTGAGGACGAAGCTGAACACATTACCGACCATCGGGATGTCCGACTCTGGAACGGAAAACAAATGTTCAGCAGTATATGGGCTCTGGTATAAATACATATACTGCCACAACTAACAGCCTCCATAGTCCAATCAGTGAAGTGGCTTGGTATGGAAAGACAGCTTAAGGGCAGTTTAATTAACGTCTATGCATATCACAGTCCGGCAATAATGCAACAATTGCTCCTATTTTTCATCCAATTTCATCATTTAACACTTAAAACAACATGTTTCGGCCATAGATGGCCATCTTCAGGTGTCTCAATGTATCGAAACTGCTACACTGCTCTGATGTGCGCTGAAACCACGCTCTACAGTCCACTTAAATATAAAATAAAAATAATTAATTAAAATCCATTAAAATTTTTTCTCATTACTTTTGTAAAATCCTATTCCACACTATAAGGGGCGTCGTCCACTTGTTCAGAGCTATGTGATTTGCTGCAGCAGCTTGTTTTTATGTTCGTTAGCCCTTAGTTTGTTACGTCTGCAGTCTGCAATATGCCCCTTGCTTGTATATTGTTCCCTCTAGCAGCGTGTGGCGTTGTCTTCACTAGTGCACTGTGATATATATAGACGTTAATTAAAGTTTTGCAACAGGATTCTGAAATACAGAATTATATATTTTTTTTGCCACCACATCTCGCCTCAATTTAGTGCTGAAAAAAAAAGCATGTGTGGAGCACCGCCTGCACTTAGCATTTAAGCGTCCATAATATGATTCTTAGGCATACAGCCAAGTTTAACGTTACCTTCCTTAACACATTCCTGTTCAAAGTTCAGATAGTGCAAGGGTTTAGACGTATCTCGTAATCCTAGTTCTTGCTGTCTTACATAAACCTCACTTCACAAAGCACCTCGCTGGTCTTCCTTCGCGGAATTTTCTTATACCCTGAAGATGGAGGCGATACGTTCCTCCGAAACGTCAGTCTACAAGGCGTCACATCCCTGAAGATGGCTTTCTTTCATAGTCACCGCTGTGAAAACCTCAAATCTTACATATATGTAGTTTCTGTTTCAGTGCGGTTACTGCCGTGCAACTGACTACCATCTCACATGAGCAGAACACGTTCTTATACATGTACTAACTCCTCGTCTTTAAGAAAACCTAACAATTTTCGGCCAATTGTAAGTACCTCGTCATTTCCTTTAAATAAACTGGAATGAGTGAATGACTGCATAAGGGGTGGGCCCTTTCGGCCCTTGCACTGCGGCATTCAGTGATCTACTGTGCTCAAATGAACTGAAAACTCCATATCGTGACAGCAGCGTTATGAACGCATGATGATTGGCTTACAGACCTCCAGGTATCTCCATTTTAAAGCTGCGACTCTTTACCTTGTTTCATGTCACGCCATCCTTCTGAACTGCCTTCACCCTTCCACTGATATCTTATTATAATATTGGTACCAGTGTTTTGCATGTTAGATGTGCCCCTTGTCACCACTGCATAACGCCCCACTGCTATGTAGTGCAGCTATGGGTATGTTTCAGGAACTCCTCGGAACCATGTTGGGGACTGAGGAAACAGACTCTCACAGAGATAAACTGGCATGTTAGGAAATGTGACGCAGTACCAGTAATTTCTTATTTAAATGAGCTCAATATCCAATTTTACATTTAATAGAACGCAGTTGATTTACAAAATGGAGAGACTGAGAAACGCATTAAACACGTGTGAACTTATATAACTTAATGAAATGTCTCATACGAACGTTTTAAAATAATAAGGAACGCCGGGAAAAACAAATGTAAGCAGGATATGATAATGGGGACTGTATGGTGATGATGATTATGATAATAGTTATGATATAATAATAATAGTTAAGAGGCCACACTAGCATTCTGTTTATCTGCTTAGGACGTGTAGGCTTAATCTCCATAACTCCCAGTTGGTCAAATCTGGGTTTCATCTCAGAAAACAGCAGAGATCGTACTCCATGTCCAAGCGTCTCCGCCAATTTTTATTTTATTTTTTACAAGCCGGAAGGTCGCGGGTTCAAATCCCGATGATGTCATTGGATTTTTTCATTTGACATAATCCTTCCAGCCGCACTAGGGCCTGGGGTTTACTCAGCCTCTAACAGAAATGAGTACCAGGAATTAATTAAAATAATTTTCCTGGGGAGTAAAGCGCGGCCGGCCCGTAAGGCTGACAACCTTACCGCCATCTTTGAGCCGATTGTCAAGGTAATGTGGGACCCTCAACGTCTCACAACCTTATGGGCCTTCACGGCCTGTTACAGGAATAGCTTTGCTTTTTACTTTTACTTACTTACACAGCAATCAATGACAAAACCGGCTGGGACGAAATGGTAAAGGGACCGACAGGCCTTTGTGAATACACCCGAGACAGAGAGACGTGTGTTCCAAGCACAGAACGTTCGGCTTCAGGTCCGGAACTCTGTGCAACTGACAGCTGACAAGCCAGCGCCATTTTATGGCCAGTGGGCAACAAGTTGCAGTGCATGAAACCAACTGTATACTGTTTGAACGTAAATTGATTTTGAATCAAATGCTTCGCCCTAGCCCTCCCGAATATATAAAACAGTACCATAAGCATTTATAAAACTGGACAGAATCATTTGCGACCACCGTACGGATCTGTTGTGAAGAGGTGTAGACTGGGATACTGATGACCGCTGTCGACTGTGAGGGCGTTTACTGTAGAGAGTAATCGGACACGTGACCAGAAGTGATGCGTCACTGGCGATCACTGCAAACAAATGAGAGACTTCTCGCTGAGAGTAAGCGTTCTGTTACCTGTTACTGTTTCACTATTAACAAAACTGAACTCTCAACCACGAGCGTACCACTGTGTATCTCCCATTCAACATTTTCATCTGCTGACAGACTTTCACAAAAGTGGGTAAGGATGTTATGCCGCCGGAAGTCAATATAATTCTTATTTCCTACAGTCTACAACAGAAAATATGGCAGGTTAGCGATAAATACTGCAGGCTCCTAAAAGGATGTTCGAAAGACAAGGAACTTTTATTCAGATATTTTGTAGAATATGACAACTGTGTAGCTTCTATGCTTAACTTTCGCTCTGATGGCAGTAACTAATGAAACACTAGCAATTTAGTGTACATACAGATCATAAACATGCCTATACATTTTGTGCGAAAGTTTGTTAAGTGGACAGTTACACGCATGGCGGCTGCGTGAAACTTTGAGGTTATATCGGGCAAATTTAACATTGACAGAATATTGTTAAAAGAAGTTATTGAAGGAAAGATAGAGGGGCGGATAGAAGTGACCAGAACACGAGGAAGAAGACGTAAGAAGATGCTGGATGACCTTGGGGACAGAAGAGGATATTTTCATTTGAAGGAGGAAGCTCTAGATCGCATTAAGTGGAGGAACTGTTTTGGAAGAAACAGTGGACCTGTCGTCTTGACAGATTACAGATGAATGAATGAATAATATTGTTAAAAAATAAGCTTTAAAAATAATAATGATGATTATAGTAATAACAATATATCACAAATAATTAAAATTCACTCGACTTGGAACAACCCATGCGCATATCCAGCGCCTTAGTCCACTAGCAAAATCGCGTTTTATTGCGGGTTCTTAGTTCAGAGAAAGTAAATACGACATTAACAAAACAAGATTTTTATGACTGGAAGCCTTTAACAGGAAAACAGGCTTTACGAGTTCTATTCGGAACTATCACGTTTTGGTTTTCAACTCTTCTTCAGAACGCTAAATTGATTCGATCGAAGAATGTTTTTACAATGACTGTAGGAATTTAATTTTAAATATTATTTAGATGAATTTCATGCCACAGAAGGTTAACAGAATGCTCCACATTTTAAATTGCAGGGTAATTAAGATTTTACTGAAACAGTAGTTATACTGTGCGAAGTGGTGATGGAAACTACCTTCCTTGAATTTACCCTTCCACGGGGTAGAAGGATGCGTAAATCTCAAGGTTACTGAACATTACGTACCAGTGTGACTGTGCGAGATAGGATCCTCCGCGAAGAGCAGGAAGTTGCAAAATATAACGAAGTACGTGACAAACAGCCGCGGGTAAGGATGTTGGAAATAATAACGGAGGTCTCTCTTATCCAGCAACTTCAACTCCGATGAGGTAGGGTGTAGCATCAGCAAGCCCGCGGTGCCGGGACAAGATGTTGCAAGAGTACAGTTCGCCGTCGGCAGATGGGTTTGATGTAGATACTCCATGCCGCTTACCGCCATCATAACGCTGCGACGACGCTGGACTGCCTCGCTCTCCTCCCAGCTACTCGCCTTCTTGGTAACACAACCGTACATGTCGAAAGGTTGCTACAAAAGAAGCAAATTTCACAGTACACCTTACGGATATCCAACAAACTGATTGACTTACTGTAGGTTGAGAGACAAATTGAGTAACTGTACATTCGAGAGACTGATAAATCGACTAAATAAGAGGCTTTACTGGCTGGCAAACAGATTGACAAAGTAGCCAAGCAAGATATTGTATAAGTGAATCATCAATTAACCAACCAGTTGAGTAACTCGTACACCCAGTAACTAACAGAAGAATATTACCTCCAGCCCAGGAGGAATAGTTATTTGGTCAAGCTAGTAAAAGTCAATTAATGAATAAATTGCTGAGTCGGTTCGTGGTTCCGAGTGAGTAGGCATGTTTTCTTACCGAAAGTCTCCTGTCTCCCGCGCAGAAACTGAACTGCTGCTGATACTTATGCAGCCTTGTTCTTGTGGTCATCCTACCGCCCCCCATGGACGCCGTCTCCATGACTACCGACGTGGACGTGGCTGAATTGGGAATGGCGGCTGCGCAACCTGGTGGCCTAGCCTTGCCAGAAATATCCGGCGTCGGCTGCAGCAGCCCCAGCTCCATCCCGTCCTTGGTGTAATCCCCATCATCATTGCAGCAGTCATCATCGTCATTGAAATAGTTCTTGTAGCGCGTTCCAGGTTGCTCGGTGTTCTTCACGTACTTAGAGGCCACTTCCGTGAACACGTGGTGCCAGATTGCACTCTGGTCCCCGTCGTTGTCGTTGCTGTCGAGAAGGGCAGCCCTCTTCTGCTGCTTGTCCACTGGAGACGCCCTGCGGTACCAAGGTTTGTTCCGACATCTCTCCTCGTCTTCGCTTGATACACTGACCAGTCGCTGGAAGGATTTGTGTGCAAGTTGGTGATGGAGGGCTGAACTGCGGACACTCTGCGGTGGCGAGGCTTCTAAGGAACACGTAGTGGCGGTGTGGCGAGACCCTGAGCACGATTTGTATGACACAGGAGAAGTGATTTCAGTAGGGTGCCTCTGTTTAAGCGGTCTGCCCACGTCGGTATGGGCCAAGTCTGACGGCGGAAGCGGAACGATTACGTCATCCAGAACAGAGGCACTTAACTCATCGTTCACGCCGTCTAGGAGGGAGACACTGTGACTGTTCTCATCGTCTGGGATTGATGCACTGTGGTCATATTCGAGTTCAAGCACCGACCCGCTCCTCATATTCTGTTCGTCGAGAAGTGACGAACTACGGTTTTCCGCAGAGGGTCGCGCCAACAGTGCAGCGGTATCCATGGCAACCAGCATAGAATCCCGTGTACAGTCATTCCGCAGAGAACTACGTGTGCTACCGCCATCAATAAGAGATGGGCTTCGAGTGCTACCATCGATGTAGGCCATCTGCTGAGAGACGCGATTCCAGAAGTCGACCATGCTGGAGGTCGCCAGGGCCAGCGCTGAAGTCGTCTTACAGCTTGTGTTGCTGTTGCTGCGTTCCTTCGTGGGCAGGACAATTGAAGGAGAAGAGCCCCCATTGTTGAGAGATAGTAGAGATTTTCTGATACAGGAAGACGAGGCCATAGCTCGTCTGATCCTTACACAGACGCCAAATTATTTGTGTCTGATATCAGTTCACTTGGTCTTGTTGCTTTACAACTTTCACACTCATTACTCGCGTTTGTGTCCGCACTGGTCTGAACTTATAATTTCAACACCGTTTGCAATTAAATTCCGTAATGCGACTGTCAGAAGTTTCCTTCATCACAGGATTAAATTGATTGTAGTACTGGAACAGTAAGTCTGTGTACTGTCAATCGCAGGAACGCGTTTGTAAATCTCACGTTTCATACACCTTCACAACGTAATGAACATACATAGAACGTAGATTATAATATATTTTATATAAAATTATTCTTTAATTAATATAAATATTTCCCTCTCTTTTCCCCTCTACTTTATGGATGGTATTAAATAGTGGCATGTGATTATAAAATAGAATGAAGTTTCTTTGGTTAAAATTTAAAATTCGGATTCCTTAGCCGATGCCCGTGGCACAAAAGGCAAGGCAAAATGGACATACGTTTTCTTTCATTGTTATAATAATGCTCTGTCTAGAGTTTCTCTTCGTTTGGGATCTTGTTTTCTTCCTTTGCTGATTAAATTCTTCTTTTTCATGATGAGTGGCTTCGAGAGATTGCTGATTTCTGCATGAGATGATGTTACTCTGGCGTGCTGATGACGTGTGCTCAACATGGCAGACACCCGCATTTACTGTCCCATTACTGGGATCGACCTGAAGAAATAAAGCAATACGTTAAAATTAGGCCACAATGAATGTCTTTTCTTCTTCTCCACATTTCTCTTAACATTTGGAATCTACAAGATTCAAATCAGAACTGCCGACCGGCCTCATGTTCTTTGTGGTTTACAGAATCTCTCCGTCTGAAAGAAAGTGGTCATTATGCTTTTCTTTATAATTTTACTTTCATAAAATGCTGGGTTGCTTTCTTCTCATAAGGCACGACGGCTCCTTCTAACTTCATTATTCACAGTCATCCTCCATTCGACGCTCTGTAACTTTAGAAGTTAAGAGATCCTAGTTAAATATTAAACAAACAGACTTTTCTTAAAATTGTTCCACTGGTATAAAACCCTAGCGCGTTTCATTGCTATCCTATCTTACGTGTCATGTCCCCAATAGAAGGAACCAGTCACGCAAGAAAGACTTAGTACTGTTGAAAAATGTTCGAACCAGGTTGATGAAAGGATATAACATTTGTGCTTATTTTTTGAAAGTACTTCCTCCACCGCCTACTGTTGACAGGCGTTTTATCTGCGGCGTAATGGAAAAGAGTGTTAAGCACTAAACATCACTTTCAGAAAACAGGAACCAACTTTAGACTTATACGGAGTATTTTTTTTATTGCTTGTGGGGTGGAACTAAGTCCCTTGTATTGCGGCCACTTCTGGCCTACTTTGCCAGCCCCAGATGATAGGTGAGGATGATTGTGGAGCAATTGGTGGAATGAATATTGGCAAGGGAAACCGAAGTACTCGGAGAAAACCTGCCCACGCGCCACGTTGTCCACCACAAATTCCACTCTGCGAGACCCAAGATCGAACCCGGGCCTCCGCGATGGGAAGCCAGAGTTTTAGTATGTAACTGAATGTGTATTGTTGGGCTTTAGCGATATAATTCAGTTCGAACCTGAACCTTTTAGCAAGGAAGATTTCCAGACGAACTTGTCTCGTGTTGACAGATTTTTTACTTCAGCATCGTTTCCGTAATGCCACTGATGATAGGGTTGTTTGAAATCCTGTGAAATAGACGTGGGCCTGCCAGGGGGGCACAGGAGAGGGGGAAGAGTCTCCTGTAGAAGTACTCGCACGTTTCTAATAAATGTGGGTACATCGATTGCGATGCGGGGAATCGTGAACCCGAGCACATTAATTTATTTTCATCTTCCTCAATGCAGTTTACGTGCCGCATTGCAAGGAAGTTTAAAGTGATTGGCAGATATAACGGGCGACGCCCAGTTAGGAGAATACGTGGAACACAATTCGTTTCCGAGTAATTCCTAACATTTTCCATTATGGGGCTTTTTTGAACATTTTGGTGTATTATATTCATGGATACTTACAAATTCTGTCACAGAAAGGACAAAAATAGTTTGCTTTAACTGTTGTTTGCTATTCTGTCCTTTACAATAATCTGAGTTTGGACTAGTTACAAATGCAGGTGGGAGGTACAATCAGTAAATGACAGTGAAAGATATTTTGAGTCAGTACTGCAGCATCCACAACGAGTCAGAGCACCCTGTTATTTCATCACGTTTAGTTCCGTCGCATAACTGTAGATGCCTCTCCAGATAAAGGAAGTGTTGCTATCCAATACGGTCGCTCGATCGGTATAGTTCGCTTGCGGACTAAAGCCACGGAGTTTGTTTGTTTGCTATCCAATATGCACTATCAAAGACGCATCATACATTAGGCTTCCATTCTCTAGAAAAAACATGTCTACCACTGTTTTTAACTCCACTATTCACGTCAATATTTTTCTAGGGAGAAAGTCAACGGATATCAATGTGAAAAGGAGCGAAGTGTAAGTCTGCAAGTAGCACAGAGTACAGCAGTGTACTGTATCACTTGCCTTCATATAATTTACAATTTGGACTAATTATGGAAGTGTTCACAGAGTTCTGAGGAAGAACGCTGTTTGCGATGCAGAAACAACTGGGTTGGCCTATTGTAGCCTGCCACGGGTGATTATGATAATGGAGAATTTGGTGGAAAGAAGATTGGCAGGGGAAACCGAAATACTCGGAGAAAACCCGCCGCACCGCCACTTTGTCCACCACAAATCCCAATTGACCACACCCGGGTTTGGACCCGGGCCGCTAGTGTCACTAGAAAACGGAACACCATTAAGTAGTTTTCCCGAACAGTTTGCCCCACACATCCATCGCACATCGCTTACTTAAGTATTCTGCAATTCTGAAGGTGTTTTAAGACATTTTTTTTTGCATTATACAGTGCCATTAAAATGATTTTAAAAGTGACACATTTGTCTGAAATGCAGTCTTCATTACTTTCTGATGATCTTTTAGCACTATGGATTGTCTTATAAGATCAACTTTCTGTCTGCGTTTCTGTATGTGTATCCCCCTATTAACTTTTGAATGGATGAACCAATCTTTAAGAATCTTGGTAGGCATATTAAGACATCTCAACGATGCAATTTATAAAGCTCTCCCATCATTATTACCAACATTACAAGCTCTTAATTTTATGAGGCAAAAGCTTAATATTATTTGAACGCCTATACCACACTTCAAGAAACTTGGTATGCTTGTCATGCCATATCAATCCATGTCAAAAACTTACTTCAAATATTCTTTATATCAGTAACACCAACATTACAGTCTCTCAAATTGTTGCGGTAATAACCGTAATCTTACTTGAACCTCGGAGCCGATCGTCATGGAACTTAACACGTAATCACGCCACATGAAGCAATTTCAACGGCATATTTAAGAATCCCTTCGATCCATAATACCAATATTACATCCTCTCAATTATAACCGTAATGTTACTCAAATGTTTGAACCAATGATCAGGAAACTTGGCACGTATATTATGCCGCCTGAGGTCATGTCAACAGCGTAAGTAAAAAGTGAAAGTAAAGGTATCCCTGTAACAGGACGTGGAGGCCCATATAGTTGTGAGATGTTGAGATTCCCACATTTTCTAGACAATCGGCTCATAGATGGCGGCAAGGTTGTCAGCCTTACGCGCCGGCCGCCCTTTACCCCCAAGAACATTCCAAGAATATTCCTGGGACTCATTACTGTTAGAGGCTGAGTCGACCCCAGGGCCATAGTGCGGCTGGAAGGATCAGGTAATTGAAAAAATCCAATGACCTCATGGGATTCGATCCCACGACCTTCCGGCTTGTAGCATAGTGCCTCAACCAACTACGCTACCGCGTGCCCCCATCTCACCAGCGTACATAAGAAATCCCTCTCATCAGTAGTACCTAGACTATCAAGTTGTTGAGGTTATAACTTTAATATTACCTGAATGCAGCAACCAATGCCATGAAACTTCGTATGTATATCATGCCATCTGAGGTCATATCAACTGTATACTTTGTAAGTCACTCCCATCAGTAACACCAACATTACAGTCTCCCAAATTATACTGTTTGACTTCACTGAGCATACATACGTGTGCTATAGTTTTTCCATCAGTAACACCAACATTACAGTCTCCCAAATTGTACTGTTTGACTTCGTTGAGCATACATACGTGTACTATAGTTTTTCCATCAGTAACACCAACATTACAGTCTCCCAAATTTACTGTTTGACTTCACTGAGCATACATACGTGTGCCATAGTTTTTCCATCAGTAACACCAACATTACAGTCTCCCAAATTGTACTGTTTGACTTCACTGAGCATACATACGTGTGCCATAGTTTTTCCATCAGTAACACCAACATTACAGTCTCCCAAATAGTACTGTTTGACTTCGTTGAGCATACATACGTGTACTATAGTTTTTCCACCAGTAACACCAACATTACAGTCTCCCAAATTTTACTGTTTGACTTCATTGAGCATACATACGTGTACTATAGTTTTCCCTCTACTCATCGCATTAGATGCTCAAATTACAGCGAAAGGAAAGTGGGCGATTAGTACTCAGAATTTTTATTGATTTTTTTTTGCCACAATCGTAGAAGCCTCATTCACCATCATTTTTAACGTCCCACTGGAAATGCTGATATTCCCTAAACTTCCATTGACATCTTCAATTTATTGTTGTAATGAGGCGTCTAGCTGAAATGAAGCCAAAAATTGTCACTTGTTTAGTAATTATTCCTGAGAGTTTTATAGCCTTCATGACTAAGTCTGGTTATGGGAGATGCTGGTTTGCTACGTCATCGGTAGCTGCAATTAATTTCAGGGTCTTTTTTTTTTCGGGTGCCGTGTCACACTCGCCCTCATCCTTGACTGGGGTTGGTATGATAATGCTTTTGTAATTCTGTTTGAAATGCACCCTCCCTTAGTGCCTTCTCTTCACTTGGCTGCTACTCTTGTGCTCTTTCCCAAATCTTTACGGGCCTCCATGATACCCCCCCTCCCGTGTGTGTGTTAGCGATGGGGCAGCGCACCAGCGTGGGGCTAGGCTTCGATTGGATTAAACTTTCCAGGCTAGAGAAAATCTGCTTAAGTGACAACAGCCCAGAGCTGTGACACGTGCCGTATTTTGCTGCTTGCTCGGAGAGTACGAGTAGCTGGAATGTCGAGAACCACATTCGCTTTTCCTTAAAAGACGAAACTTAAAAGCATAGCTTCCGGTTAGGTCAAATTCTCGAGGGGGCCTTCAGAATTCACACTTAATTGGTTTTTTTTCTGGACATCGCGATAGAAGGCATTGGGGGGGGGGAGCAAACGTCCGATATTTTTCTATAATCATCCTCTTCAAAGAGCACAAGTTAAACTTAAGTCAAAATTATCTTCACTGTCTGCATCCTGTTGCATATTATGATTGATGGTATTTGGCCGTCAGCACAACAACAAATAAGAAAGAAACCAATCGAACTGCTCGCATTGGTTTATTTTTTATATTGTTGTCTTCACGGCACAATACCACCATTTAAGTCAAAATATTCACATGTGTCATAGTCCTGCAAATATTTCATTGGATTACAGGTTTACGCTGATCTTCTTTCGTGTTATCTTATTATTTGATGGAAACTATTAATTAGTACTAATTTATCTTTTT